TAACTTTATGTACTAAGAAAATTTTTGGTTATTAGTAGTAATATTATTCAAATTACAATTGTATATTCTAACTTTTGAATGAAAATATATTTTTGAACACTTGGCATTTTTGTCCTGCCATTTCTAATATTTCAAACTATACGTAATCAAATAATGAAATAAATTGGCATATCATTGCAAAAGTAGTTCAATACAAGTAATGTTTTTTTTATGTTATTTACACAACGATCAGAACTTAAGCTGATTTAACTAATTACGTCGTTTTTATTAATGGCAACCCTGATGATAATGATGATTTTTTTTCGTTACAAGCTGTGCATTACTGATACATTTTTTAACTTCCCGAATGAGAAGTTTATGTTTTCATAAAAAAATCCGACTCGCTAATTTTATGTTTTCTCGACGTTTCAAGCCATTCTGAATCGAATGAGACCAAATTTGGAAAAAGTATGTGTGTGTGTGAACAGATTTTTATTGATGCACTGATACTAAAGTAAGGGCTATTTTCACTTGGAAACATATTGCTGTCTATTTTTGCAAGTAGAAACCGATGTCAATAATGTTCGAGGCGGGTATCGAACCTAGGAGCTCTAATTCAAAACCCTTAGCTTTAACCAGTTACTAACGGACTAGCATTTACTTACACCTACTTTTATTTTATACTTATAACAAAAAAATCAATTAAGTCTTTCAAACAATAAACAAGCAACTGTATCACAATATCACATTTCTTTTTAAATATACTTTATTAAAAAGTGATTATATTACTCTGATTATTATCGGTTGTGGTGTATTCGCAATTACAGTTCGCATTCAGAGTATTCGTAAAAAATACAAATGTTCTATCAGCATCCCTCGTCAATTCTGTACTTTAATTGGCTATTATTTTCTACAAGCACATGAAATTACAAAAGTTTCGCCGTGAACGCTACCATATACCAATCCTATATCAGTAAATACGAACAGAGTTATTAACATGTAAATATGTTGAATTTTCTGAAAGTTTTCATATATCCAGTAACAGATAATAGGTTTTACCAAGCTTATGATTATTATTGAATAGAATATTGTCACAACTTGCATAATAGTCGCAATTGATAATGGGCATTTGGCAGTTTTCGTTATACGCGACTGACGTGATGTAAACTGGTGCAATCGTGATGTGACTGTGTTTGAGGATTGCAGCGATACCGTTGGGATTTCAATTGCGAAAATTTCAATTAACGAACGTGTTGATCTCATATCAACAGGATGTATAAAACTAGGCAGATGTTACTAAACGAGTTTATTTCATTTAACCACTCTGCGGGTTTTACAAATTGCTACGGGATGAAAAATATCGAGGATGTGATTGCAGAGAAAAACAGGAAAATATTTACTTACGCTAAATAGGTTAATAGAATTATACTAATGCTAATTGATTCTTAGTAAGAGAAATACGGACAAAATGGTATACTCGTATATGAACAAAATGACACAGTGGCCTTATTTTAAAATTAAACTTACTATTTCCGCGACTGTGTAAAACAAAGCAAGCTATGTTGTAAATCCTTGTCAGATGTTGAGCGTCATTGTCGCTGTATCAGTTTAAACGTATTCCGCACTTTAAAAAGTTTATTTTGAGGGTTTCTTTGAAAACTTGTTCATTAATATTTGTAATTATTCCAATGAAAATCAATTAACTTATGCCAGTACTAGTGATTTAAATCAATTTTATTACAATAATCAGGCGTTTGTTTAGCGGAATTTTAAATAATTATTCACTTTTGTTCATAATTGAATAAAATGGCATTCTACAAATAAATATAAAATGAAATGCTTCAAATGACTGCAAGAATAGGTAAAATGACAGTACTATTTCGAGAGCTTTACAGGTCCTAAAGTAATTAAAACCTGTCAAAGGTATATAGATTGGCTTTCAACTTCTACTCCAAGTATGTAAGAAATAATTGCTAAAAGCAGACTTGCAAAAACTTGCATTTGTTGAAAAACCCTTTTTTCCGTTCTAAGTCTTGCGAAGATTGGTTATAATGTATGACTTGTACCCTTTGGGTTTATGGTTCATGTGCTAATGTCTCAAAGAGGCGGACCGATTTATTTGTGAACTGCTTTCCTCAAAGTTAGAATCTCATACTTCCTTACACTATATGTTATTTTGCACGTACTATATAGACAAAGTGGTTTTTGCAATAGGTTGCACTTTTTCTTGATAAATATTATATGCTATTATAGTTCCTATTTAATTGAAACACTATCAGTCAATAAACCAAAGATGAGTAAAAACAATTGAGACTGGTTATAATATCATTGAATAAATAAATGTTCTCAAATACTGTGCCATAATACCTTTCGCTAATAGCATACATTCAAATCTAAATTTCTTGATTTGATGAAAAAATGAAGTTAATTGGTTAATATTAACTAAACAATATAATACGAGATATGAATATCGTTTATGAATCAGGTAATACAATATAAACAATTTTTATAAAAAGAAACCAGAAGAAATAATAGAATTAAATATTTTATTCGCTTTAATTTATCATTATGTAAATATTTCTTTCAAGTTTTCTTTATTATAGCTCAATTTATATCGTATTAAAAGTTCACAAGAAAGCTTGAAAGAGTACAATAATTTGAAAAGAATTAATCATCTCTCGAAGTTAAAACTACAATGCTTATAGAAAACTTATACGTGTGAAAATAACATTTTTATATAGGTAATTGTAGTTTATTAGCGATGAAACTTTTATCTATACTGATGAAAGCAATAATTAAAACTTCGAAAATTCAAATCCAATTTGTCAGTGATAATTGTATAATGATAAAAAGTGCAAAAACTTTTTAATTTAAAATTCTGAAAAGTTTAAATTTGAAAAAATAAATATGGACAGTTACTAAGGCAATATCGTTTATATAACAGGTATGCATGATATATTATCGTTCAAATATTGTGAATGATTAATAGAGGAAGCGCTGTGTATGCTTTTAACTCATGGATCGATAAATTTATTTCGATACAACAAATAATTGTTTAGGTTCATAAAAGGGTAAAGGACAAACAGTCGTTTTAAAATTGAAATAATTCAACATCCAATAAAAAAACGAGTTATGTGCGTGGCGGGGCTTGCTCTTAGGTAAACGTCTACAGCGACGAGATCTGAATTAGAAGCCCTGGATTCGATAATCGCTCCGAGCAGTCTGATGTCAAGCAGTAGTGGCAGCGCTTTTCACTTGGAAATATAGATAGAAATATGTTTCCAAGTAGAAATAGCCCTTATTCGTCATTACTTGCATATATATATATATATATATATTTAATTTGGCAAAAAATAATAAATTGATTTTTTAATATGTATATATATACATATTATAAGGTAGAGCGGTGCTAAAATGTCAGTGGCAAAAAAGTCATCCACCGTTATCTCAAAAACAAGTAAAGTTAAGAATGTTTTAACAACAAGATTTGAAAGTTGAGGGAAAAAGATGTTTAGCCAACCATCACCTTGATTTTTGCCACTTCGGTATCAGGAGATAAACTATGGATTTTCTAATACCGCTGATTTAAAAATCCATAGAAAAGTTGTTTTTTTTCGTTGTTAGTTTCTTTTGGTTGTGAGCACTGTTATTTAGTTCACGTGACCTTAATATAATTTTTATGTCTACATTAATTAAATGTTTTATAAGATGTATTGTCATTTTTAAGTTATATTTGACAGTTTTTTTATATAACCTCTATAAAAGCTTGCATGTGGAAGAGGTAAAAAGGACCAACTGTCTGTTCTATTTTACTCCCAGATCAGGTGACAAGTTTCTCAAAAACAGTAAAAAAGACACATTTCTACAATGATGAATAAATTGGCTGAAAGTTTTACTGAATATAGTTAGATAATTGTTTGTTTGATATGTGTTATTTGTTGTGATAAAATTTTCACAATATAATTGCTCAAAGTCAAATTAGATCTTTGTGCACCGGCCTACCCTATGTATATATAAAATTGTATAAAACTAAGGTTTCACAATTTGTGGACAACGTCCACACGAATATCGATTTTCGTTTTTCTAGTGTTGGTATACATGTCTCGAACATATGTTTACGATTTCAAGTACATAGCGCATTTTAGTTTGTTTTTAAAGATAAAAAGTCGTATTTTGTTGTTTTAAACTGTAAACTCAAACATATGTTCAGAACATGTTCATGGACATGGATACTGCTGGCAGCAAAAATCGATAATCATATAATATATATATATATATTAGGGTGGTCCTTAACAAAGACATTTTCAAATTTCTTTGCTCCCAAGGGCGCCAATGCTTCCAAATTAATGAAAAATAAATTTCTATAGTATTAGCTCTTAATATAATATAGCGCACGCCAATTAAAAGTTTCTTATATTTGTTATTAACATATCATTAAGTAAATTCTTGCGACATCTATATAGTATCCGTGAACTCAATATATTATGACACATAAGAATATTTATAAACCATTTAACCTCTAATTAATTCCGTGTGGGCTGTTCTATAATATTTATTAATCATGGAATCAAGATTAATTTTGCAGCAAAATATTTATTTAATTGGTGATGTTGAAACTCAAATTATTATCTTGATTCCATGATGAATAAACATTATAGAACAGCCCATATGAATTTAGTTAGAGGTTAAGTGGTTTATAAATATTCTTATGTGTTATAATACTTGAGTTCACGAATACTATACAGATGGCGCTAGAATTTACTTAATGACGTATGTTAATACCAAATGTATGAAACTTTTAATTATTGTGCGCTCTACCTAAATGTTTATATAAAGAGCTAATACATAGATAAGTAAACATACTAATACTATTTGAGGTTCATTTTTTATTGGTTTGGAAGCATTGGCGTAAATTCGTAATCGTAAATTCTTGGCGAATTTATATATAGATTGCATGAACCAATCTGCTAAGATTAATATCTATTACAATCCAAATATTTTCATTACAGATTTGATTAGACATGGATACGTGGACAATGGCACACGTGATATGGGGATTGGCGAGTATCGTCTCGATGACCTTAAGCGCACCATCCCCGAAGCTGTGCCCCTATCAGTGCGTTTGCGGAACGGACGCTCTGGGCAGGATCAGCGTCCTCTGCAAAGACGGTGATCTCTCGCCGAGTCTGCCGGTAAATCACATGGACCCTCTCACGCAAGTTATAATCGTGACAGCGCCCGATGAGGACAGCGCAAACTCGCTGACCATAGGGCCGATATTTCAACAATTCACCAAATTACAAGAGGTAAGAAGTGACAACTATGGAATAAGCGTAGTAAGCAAGACACTCCAGTAGTCTACCACGTATTCATTATGCAATCAAATTTTTATTACAATAGTATAACAAACTGTGTAATAAAATCTTACGAATATTAATAAATATACATCAAAGCGTTGCCTAGGCATTTTGATTATAATATGATGCATTAGCAGTTATATGATCAAAGTTTTTTTATTAACTTCCCGTAGGGTAAGTTATAGAAATCGCAAAAAGGTTTCTTAACATTTTAGCATACATTAGAAAAAAAAGAATGCGCGTAAGGTTCACACGCGATTGAAGTAAAACTTATTTCCTACTGTGCAAGATGGCATTTGAGTAAAAATAAATACATCATATAACAATTTTGGATAATGTTTATTAGTAATATGGCAACACTCGTGATGCACATATTTATTACTGTCAACCATTATACACATTTATATAATGACAAATTATAAATTATATATTTATAATAGCATCAAAAATATGTATAATATTTAAAAACAATAATGTAATTAAATTCATACATAGTAATTAGCGTTTAGAAATGAACCTTCATTAGAGAAATGAAGTAATTGCTGATTATTTACTTCTATAATATTCGTTCACAAAGTGGATTATGTTAAACAACGCCTGAACAAGTATTGTTTTCGCACTCATCATGTAATAATTGTGTTTGAAAAACTTCATTTACTTAAAATTAACATACATTCATTGACTGATGATATTTTTTTTTTACTTTTTTGCTGGCGATATAATCTCATTCTTGGAACAGCTGTAATATCTGTTTTGCCTAAAAAATATTTTCCATTTCAATAACTTCAAAGATTTATAGAAACTACAAATAATATAGAAATTATTTCAATAAACTTATTTCGTACACGGCGCAAATGCTGCATTGTTTTATTATTTTCATTATAATTATTTACCGTGGACAGGTAAAATATGCTTCTGATTCAGGCATTTTTCGTTAAATCAAGATTTGTACTACGATGTAACTTTAATTTGTTTATTCATCTATGCCGATTTCCTTGTTGATATCAGTACGCATACAAAGTTAATGCCGGTACGCACACAACGTCAGATCTCTATTCACATACGCGACGACTAATCACAATCGACCCATATAGAAATGATATCATCGATAGCAAATGACGAATCATTGGCACTCGACTCTTATCTTATCTTATCTGCCGTAACTCACTTCTGTTGCATTTGTACGGATCTATACACTAGTTGCGCCTAAAGAAGTTTTACTTCAATAAATTGATGCATGTGTGTGTGCGGATACAAATTTTCGTCAATGATTTTGTGAACACGGATCAACCGATTTGAATAATTTTAAAATACTCGGTTAGTATTTATGAGGAGACGTGCTGATTAGTTTTTGACAAAAGCAGCTCCAGCTATTTTGAAGATGGCCGAAAAGTGCAAAAATAGCATTTCAGTTTTTGAGAGCGGAGCATCCGATATGAATAATTCAAATAGCATTTTATTTGCATCGGCAAAGTGAAAAATTGATCAAATTTTTTATATGCTATATTTTATATAGCAGAGATCTAGAATAAAATGTTAAACAAATGTCGTTTTGTGGTTAAAAATGATCGTCTAATGATCACATGCATTTATCAGACATTTTAATAATAAGTCCAATATTTATTACCATTTATATAGGTTCCGAAACAAGACTGATATTGTTTAAAGTTCACTTATATAATTCAAACAAATATCCTCGACATTTTCGACAGCATCAATCGACATGAATAGATTTTAAAACTTACAAAAAAGTCGATTTTTTTAAAAATTACGAAAATTTTAAACAATTTCAAATTTTTCAAAAAAGTCTTTTATTCAAAAATTCTCAAGACCTTATTTTTTCAAAGTTTTCATAAAATTGTAAAGTTTTTTCCGAAAAACAAATGGGAGGACAAATAATCAGTAATTATAAGGCTATATATGCAAATGGGAATTAAACAAAAAACTGTTTCAGCAATTTTTTTTATATTAATGAATTATGTGTGACTTTCAAGTCCCAGCGGCCTATAATTCTTATTTTTTAATTTATAAAAATGTTATTTCAGATTGGTCATAAATATTGATATTGATTGTTTTGACAACGTTATATTATGGAATTCAGATTTATGCATAATCTCATAAAAAAAGATTTGAAAAGATTTCTAAAAAATTTAGTATTTGACCTAAAAATTACGCAGGCCCATAGAGGGTTAAATAAATTCATAAAATGATATTTGGGTAGGATTTGAAGTGAGAATTGTGATAATATCGTTGTACGAAACTCTCGATTCATAAGTTTGAATATTTATAAACTAATGTTGCCTTCTCGTAATTAAAATCCGCAATAAAGTTCGCATCAAAAACAACATGGCATCAAGTTGAGTTTGCCGTTGGCGCAGCCATAACTCTTGCAATTACTAAAGACTGCGTCATTTTACATACACGACACAAATACCCGACAATATATACCAATTTCAAAATGCTATTCTGCACTAGATGCACTAGGCATTATTAATTACGCAATTTATAATGTTGCTCCACAATTCCAACTACTATACTATCGTATTATAACCAGCAGAGGACTAAAAATTTATATCAATTACCTTGCGAATCAAGAAATAAATTATTCAGTTAAATCAATAAATTCATATAATTGAACAAAATTCATAGTAATTTTGTATGAATATTGTGAAAGTGGCAATATTGCTTTCAATTTTATAACTACATTTAGTATTAAAGTTCGTGTTTCGGGAAAAATTAATAATAGAAATATAATAAGCAAAATACTTTTTAAGCAAGAGATTACGTATATATGAGAAGTCCGATTTTTTTTTATTTTTTTTAGTCTGTTTAATTAACCTTACGTGACATACAGCTAACAAGTTAAATGCAATAAAAATTATTTTTGTTGTTTGTCATTTTTAATATAATATAGATAATTGAAACGATTTATTCATTCTGTGCTAATTAGAGTAAAATTAGATGTTAAAAAAATAATTACAAACCCCAGAAACTAAGAAAGGATTTTATTAAAATATTCTAAATGTTTACGTTTAAAAATTATAATTATAAAAACTCGCCAAGTCATGTTTTTCTAATAAAAATGAAATTTGCAATGAATGTGAGTTACTCTAATTGCCTCTAACAATTAACAATTACTCTACGTTCAATATTTATTATTTTTAATGGAGTTTGTGAGTGGACTGCAAGAAATATATCTTTTTCAAAATCATATAGAAAATAAAGCTTGGTATAAGTGGCATTTAAAGCAAGTTGTATAAACTTTCCAATACGTGGCATTTGAGCTTTAGCTATTTAGATAAAATTTTAAACTATTCATTTCGAAAATAAAGTTCTAGCTTTCACTAAAAATAAATCAATGCTATTTATCAAATATGTATTTATTATATTATTAATAGTACTAAAACACGCGCTTGTATATAAAACAAGCCCAATATTCTAAACTTTAATGATTTGTTATAACTATAATTTAACCACTTTTTGTCATCATTGGAAAAAATAATTTTGAAAACATTTGATTTCCGAGGAAATAGCTTGACTGATCTTTGTCACAAAAAGTTCAGCTCTGCTGCTAATTGTAAAAAATCGTCTTTGACAATTGTCGTAATAAGCTGATAATTTTTGAAGTTACGAAATCAATGTAGCCGTTTCTGAGAAAACTTCCATCAAATTTCAAAAAGCCGGTTCACATGCACACATACACATACTTTTTTCAAATTTCGTCTCATTCGATTCAAAATGACTTGAAACCTCAGAAAAAACACAGCAAAAACAGAAACTTTCCTTCGAAAAGTAAAAACATGCATAAATATTGTTGATTTCTAACCTTTCAAGTTAATTAAATTTAAATTATGATTATCTTACAGATAAATTCCGGTTTATATTTAGTGTGACCCACTTAAGATATCTAAGTTTTGATATAGAGTTATAACTACTCAATCCCTTGAGCATTTGTCAATCACAGACAATCAAGGATGCGGCAACGTTTAGTGAAAGGGACCTAGCAGTTTAATTTAAACTTTGCTCATTATTGGTATAAAGTAATCACAAACTGAAGTTTGTGTTTCTAAGTTTTGGTAGATTTCTAACATCTCTATTTACATGAAAATCGAGTATAATAAGAGCTTTTGTTGCAACCATCAGCCACATTCTCTCATATAATACATAGTTGAAATTTTCACGACGCGAATTTATCACGATTGCACATGTAATGGTTCGTTAGTGAAAATAACTGCATTTTGCTCTCGTTAAAATAAAAAACAACATTATCTGCGAAAAATATTAGTTACATGTAATATAATTCTTATTTAGTGATCATTAAAAACACATTTTAGCAACGAGGTTATAAGTTCGTTTAATGTGCGCCATTACTTTTAATTATCTTGCTACAAATATTTCGAAGACTTGGAATAGCGACTGATACATTGTGTACACAACGAGATTTTGTTGTTTATATATTGCTGAGATTGTCAGATTCTTTATTTGATACGGCCTAATCATATTACAAATCAATTTTTGTTTTGTTGTGCGAAATAATAAGCTGATCAAATGAGGGCGAAAGGTGAAATTGGGAATTCCATTGCCTCAGTTGATCTACTAATTACGAAAAAAACTATTTCTTGAGAATTTATGAACAATGTACATGAATAGAAAGTCAATTGTGAAGTCTATACTTAAAAGCATAATTTTTAAAATTAATGTGAAAAATTATCGATATAATTCATTCATATGTTATATTATCAATAATTTGACTTGAATCATGATTTTTTGGTTCTTTTATTTTAATCCTTCTTCAAACAGTCTGATGTCAAGCAACAATATAAATATCAACATGTTTCCATGTGAAAATAGTCTTTACCTTGCATTTCTGCATTATCGCAATTTCTGCAGAGGCGACCGTAGGTTTGTCTTCTAATATCGATCAATATAAAACTAAACTATATCTCTTATAGTAAGGAAAATTAATGAATTGCCTACTAATAACGTCATTCTTGCAATTGTTAGTAATTAGCAGTGATCAATACAACTCATAGAACATGTAGAAGTATAAACATAAAAAAACTAAAAATTTAAAAATTATATAGGGTAGGGCAGAGCTCAAAAGTCCAATTTCATTTTGATTTCCATTATATTGTAAAAACTATACGAATTATATCAAAACAAATATCACATATCAAACACACAACAATCTGACTATGTTCAGTAAAACCCCCAGCTAATTCATCATTGTAAATATGGGTTTTTTGCTGTTTTTCAAAAATTTGTCACCAGTTTCTTTTACCCCATAAGCGGGGTAAAATGGGACAACCAAGGAACCAACTGGTCCAATGCCTTACTTTTAATTTTAATGAGATTTTACGAAATAATAGTAACATTATTCAACTAGTACGTCAATTTTATTTACATTTCTATGGATTCCGTAACATCGTTTGTCTGTTAGTCGGAGACGCAGCGCTTACGCGCTTCGATATTTCGTCTTTATGCAGCTAAAGCAGTGCGAATGCTTGAAAAAAGTTCAAAATTTGCCAAAATATTTTAAAATAATAAAAAAACAAAAATTTCGAAAAATTCAATTCATTTCAAAAATTTTAAATTTCTCAAAAAACTAATTTTTTCAAAGTTTAAAAAAAAAAGTTTGGTACGGAAAGTTTCAGCAATTTGCCTTAAGGCAAGATGCCATGCCGACTAGTTATTTTTTATATTTAAGATATTTGGTAATTATGATATTATTTTAATTTTTATTTATTAAATAAAAATATGTGTAAATTTGTAATTATGATTTATGTCTCCGGCAGAGTTTTAACGCGACATTTTGGAAGAAAACTATTTTCCTCGCGTCGCATTTATTACCAAAAGCGTATAGAAAAGCAAAATAAGTAATTCTAGTACATTGTGTTGACAATATAATTTTGAAGAAGGAAGCGCCTGCAAGATGAATATAGCTTTAAGACCGCTGGGGAGATATGCGAAAGTTTGTTGTGAACAGTTCCATTAAATTGCTCAACAGTTGCGCTTGAGTAGCTTTCAGTCGAGTAAACAAAAATATTCTTACATTACGCGGTCTTAGAGGGCTATACTAAGTTTTCTATATAATCAGATCTTTTCAATGCAAATATGCTCTTTCCTTCCCCATCTTTTGATTTCAAACATTATATACTCATAATTAACTAGACAATATGATCGTTAGACGGACCAAAGAGAATTGCAAATACTTAGAAAATTTATAATTGGTACATACCGCGGAAAGTTTTACTTATCTTATCGAGATCAGGGATATCGTAAACTCGGTTAACTCATGACTACAGGCAATTTCTGATCTTTTGTCTATTTATTACTTTCAATAATTATGATGGTACTTTTCTTGTGTGCTGTGAGCTTTTTTTCCTGACGACTTTAATGAAACACATAAATAATTTTATCAATATTGGTGTAAAATAATTCCGAATGACATTTTGAAGTGGAAAAAAACTAATTTAGTAAATCTACCCTAAATAAATTACCTAGCGAAAACAAGAACTTTCCCAAGTTAATATTTCTTTTTTAATATCAATTACAACTTTTAATTTTCTGGCAGTGACCTTTTAAATATTACTAATTGTTATATCAATTTTATGAATAATATGGACTATTTAATCAACATTGTTTTATTAATATATGATTTATTTATTTACTTTATATTTATTATATAATTAAATAACTAGTAGTGAATGACATCGTGCCTTAAGAGAAGTTGCTGCAACTTTCTATACCGCAATTTAAAATTTTTAGAATCTAGAAATATTTGAATACTTAAAAAAATTGAGAATTTTGAAATTTTTGAAAAAAATGTACTCTTTTGAGTAAGTAAAATGATTTTTAAATTATTATGAAATTATGAAACCGGATGCTCCGCTCTCAAAAACTGAATTACCATTTTTGGCACTTTTGTCCCATATCTTGGAAACGGCTGAACCTGTCTTTGCCAAACCTAATCAGCACGTATCCTTATCAATAGAAATCGAATGTTTTTTGAATCATTCAAATAGATTTATCCGTGTATTTAAAATCGTGGACAAAAAATAGTATCCGCACATACATACATACACCCACACCCACACATATACATCAATTTTTTTCTGTATGTCAGAATGTTCAGAAGGCTTTGGAATGAGAAGAAATAATAAAAAAATTATTTTCAATTTTTTGCGATTTCTATAACTTACCCTATGGGAAGTTATAAATTTACAACAGAATCAGTGTTTTTCAAAATTCCAAAAATTTTACAAAATTTACGGAAATATTTTTCCCAGAAAGAAACTATTTGAACAATTCATTAAAGCAGTGTTTCAGTCAAGAAAAATAAAATACTACTACAGTTGAAAATTTTGTAGCAAAAGTCACACTAGATGCGGTCTGTATGTGACACTTGTAGCCTATATAACACAGATTTTCTATGTAGACACTATTTTCTCCATTATAAAAATTTGTGTATAGTTTTTATATGGTTTTAATATACTCCATCTAATATTTGTTTATACAGCTTTAGGTTTACGAAAATTTGTCATAAAGAACAAAATTAAACTGGTTGGTATTGGAACTTTGCAAGTTACATGAACTTCCCAATATGTGTAAATAATCGACTTAATCAATAGAAAATAAATTAATTTATGAGTGATAAAAGTAATCAGAGTGGATTTATTGCACATAATTGAGAACGAACGATCACGTTAACTCAAAGTATTTTCTGAAAGCAAATTTTCACAAATTAATGGTTTTTATAATTGAACCAGTTTCCGTATGAATTTAATGGTTTAGTATGTTCATTAAGACCATGTACTCTATCGTTATACCAAGTAAATCGTTTAATTTTATCTTTAACAAACGTCAAAAAAACTGCTCATTTTCTAAAATTTTAATAAATTTTTAAAATTAAACTACTTGTCGTAAGGCCGTAATATTTCAGTAAGTTCTATAAGACCATGATATATATCGCCAAAAAAATTCCATGAAAATCCGCTTAAATTTTTTCAACAGTTAATTACAAGAAAACGGCTTGGTAGATTTTTACCTAAAACTAATTAGTATCATTCTCAACTAATATCTTTCGAACAGTTTTTGATTTTTTAAAATCGATTCGGTAGTATGAGCTTAAATGTGGACGAAAAGTTTAACACTTTTTTTCCAAATTACAAAGAAATGGCTCGGCAGATCGTCGCACAAAACTGAGAAACGATAATCCTCATCGAGATACATCAAATGGCTTTTAAATTTCTGAAATCGGTTCAGACGGTTTTGATAAAACGTCGATTTACTGCAAAAAATCTGTTCACATATACGCACACACATACATACACACACACATAATTTTCCAAATTCCGTCTCATTCTATTCAGAATGGCTTGAAACGTCAAGAAAACATAAAGTTAGCAAATTGGATTTTTTGATGAAAACATAAACTTCTCCTGCGGGAAGTTAAAAAGTCCCAAAAATATCAATATAAATTTAAATCTACATGTAAGTATTAACAAATATGTTTGTTAAATTTGCAGGTCCACATATCGCATTCGAACATTCCGGCAATCGGTCGTCATTCGTTTTGGGGCGTGCCGACGTTACGGCTCCTGAATCTGACGCACAACAACATATCAACGGTTCTGGACTATAACTTCAGAGGCATGGCAGATCTCGAGGAGCTGCACCTCGATTTCAACCGGATAGAGAAAATGTCCAGTGGTACCTTTCGATACCTGACCGGACTCAAAGTGCTCTCTTTGAGGAGCAACGTAATCTCCGAACTAGTGCCGAGGCTATTTCACATGTTGGGGGGCTTGAAAGTTTTGGATTTGAGCGGAAACCCATTGAAAGAACTTCTACCAGACGCTTTTAAAGATATACAGGTAGGAAAGTGTTTTGGTATTTATATTAGTATTGTAAGAACCGTCTACACGTTTTGCGCAGTTTATACACGATACCCAACGTTCAGTCAGATGAAATGACTAATCTTTTGGCCTGGTCGAACCACGTCTATTTATATTGCTATGCACGTGTATTTATAAGGCTAATAGTGCAATTTAATTTATACATATTCACGAGTTTGAACAATCTGACGTTTTGAATCATCTTTCATATATAAGATTGTTCAAAATCAATATACTTTAGCTCATATCATAGCCTGTATCTAACAAAAATACTAAAAGGAATTAAAAACTGATAAACATAATGTTCTATCTATAAAAGAAAATAAAACACTTACAGTTTGATTTCTGATACTAGACTAATTAGCTTTAATAGTTTTAAATAAATAAGTAAATTGATACATTCATAAATAAATCACTATTAATATGTGGTATGAAGATATAAACTGTAATGAGAGTTTTTAATGTAAAAATTTCAAAAACAATCAATTTAAAGAAATTATAGAAGACTATGATAAGGTAACTCACCGTTAGTCAGAACTAACTGCAAAAGCATATCTGTCTTCAGCATATCATATATTTTTACTGCTTACTTCGAAACGGTCAAAAAAATATGATATATAGGGTAAAGCGGGGTATGCGGGTAAAAAGTTTCACCACCAATATCTCAAAAACAAGTAGAGTTAAGAATTTTTTAACAACAATATTTAAAAGTAGAGGGAAAAAGATGTGTAACCAACCATCACCTTGATTCTAACAACGTCTTTATCCAGAGATAAACGGCCATGTTTAAAAACCCATAGCAAAAGTATTTTCTTTCTTTGATATTTTTTTTATGTGAGCACTGTTGTTTAGTTTACGCAATCTTAAAATAATTTTTAAGTATACGTTATTTAATTGTTTTGTAAAATGTAGTATTAATTTTAAGTTAGATTCATTCATTCAGTTTTTTAATTCAATTTCAATGAAAGCTAACATGTGGGTGAGGTAAAAAGGACCTACAGAACCTTTTCCTTGGCAAAGGAGTAAAAAATAAAAAAGTAAATGAAGTAAAAAAGCTATTTTACAGGAGAATATTAAATAAATAGTTTTTCCATCTCTGCTGATAATTATTTCTGACGAAACTAAATCAAGGTTATTTACAGTGTTATCTCTGTAAAAAATGTACCCATGAGATTTATATTTTGTATTGGTTGATTAATGTAGCTAATATTTTGTTAAATCCCTTTAAAATTAAAAATAAAACAGTCTCCCAGTTCGGGTAAAAAGAAACAGGTCACATATTTTTGAAAAAAACAGCAAATAAAAAAAATGGCTACAAAAATGAAGTAGCTGGCAGTTTTACTAAACATAGTCAGATAATTGTTTGTTTTATATGTGTTATTTGTTGTGATATAATTTGGTTTGATTTTCACAATATAATCGCTCAAAATCAAATTGGACCTTTGTGCTCCGCCCTACCCTATTAGATAATATGTCACCTGTATATATATATATATATATATATATATATATATATATATATATATATATATATATATATATACATATATATATATATATATATATATATATAATATGTTTTATTTCTATGCCCATGTTATTTTTTCTAGCTTGTTTTCTGATTTGTCAAATTCAAACATATTTATTCAGAGTTGAAAATATATAAAAGCAGCAGTAACCTCATGATTTAAAAACCATTTTGCTTTTGAGCCCAAATGTGCATGAATAATATACAAGTTCGAATATACTACGAACGCATAGATTCCGCTCAATAAATATTCATGTCTAACTGCATTTTATCCACTTTATTTCCAATTCATATTTAATTGATATGTCAGAATGATATAGTGAATAATAAACAATTACACACGTATAATGCATAAAAAGACTGTGTTGAAATAAATTCAGTTTGTACCTGGATTTAATTTTTATAATATGAGTATTTGCGATTACATTATTAATAGATTATGAAATATACTCATTCTTTTAGTCATACCCAGTTATTAATTACCAATCAAGAGTAAAAAATTACATAATTTTTCAATTATCGTAAAAATATTATTTTTTTATCGAAATACCGAGAACCAAGTTATTAAAATATATACTTTAAGCTATTAGTTCTCGATTATGCTACTTTAAATAATTATCTAAATATCGTGCATCACTTATCGCGATTTCTGCAACTTAACAAGAAATATAAATAGCATTTCAATTATTATTTTAATCTGCCGATTATTTATTCAAATCTGTCACCTGCTCTTCTTTACCCCTCAGGCGGGGCAAATAGGTCCAATGCTTATTTTTAATTTTAAAAGAATTTTACAAAATAATAGCTACATTTTTCGACCAATGCAAAATATAAATTTGATGGGCAGATGTTCAAAGATAACACCGTATATAACCTAGATCTGGTGTTTCGTCAGAAATATTCATCAGCAGAAAATTATTTATGTAATTTATCTGCTGTAAAAATGCTTTTTAAACTTAATTTACTTTTTAATTTACTTTTGCCATAGTAAAGGTTCAATTGGTACTTTTTACCCCACCCGAATGTAAGTTTTTATATAGGGTATGAAAAAACTATTACAAATAACAATACATTTTATAAAACAATTAAATAAGGTATACTTAAAAATTATATGAATGTCTCGTAAACTAAACAACAGAGCTCAAAACCCAAAAAACTAACAACAAAACAAAATACTCTTGTTATGAATTTCCAAACATTTCCGTTCAGCTTTTGATGGCAACGTTGTAGAAATCAATGTAATAGCTAGTAATACATATTTAGCTCTCTACTTTCAAATATTGTTTAAAAATGTGTAACTATACAAATTAGACAATTTCACCTTTTATTAATTTTACTTACAAATTATTAACCATAGCTCATAGAATATTTCTCGTTCTGATTGCTGCTTATGATAAATAATAAAAATAAAAAATTATACTCCATAATATATTCATATAATTAATTACATTGTAGGTACAATAAATCTCATTGGTTTCCAAATAATTTCAAATAGGATTACATCATATTTACACACACACATCAACTTAACACGTTCAACCCTTTAAACAATTATACGTCAGAGCATCGTAACTATTTTTTATTTCTACATCGACATATTATTTAATGAAATGAAACAAAGCTGAAATAACAAGCAGCATTCGCATAATACAAATGTAGTTTTCCGCTTAAATAAGAAAATTAACGTAGCCGCAAGATGTTCTAACGAGCTCACTATCTTGTTACCATGATCCAACTAACCTAGTTTTATTCCTTTGACCGTTGAGATGAAAGAAAAATTTATTATCTTGCCTTTGTGCACACTGAATGGGCACATTTTCATTGTTTTGATTTCAAAGAATTCTTCCCTTTCGAATATATACGATTATATATATATATATATATATATATATATATATATATATATATATATATATATATATATAGTGTGTGTGTGTTTTCTGTAAACACGAAAACAATTCATCAAGGTATACCGGTTTGAAAAACAAACTACATATATAAAGAAAACAACTATTTTTCTTAAGCATAAAAGTATCGAATGGGTAACAGCTAGGGGTATACCCCTATAGGGCCTCGGCTTGCAATCGTTAAGTTATCAAGCAGTAGTGATATCCATTTTCTTAAACATTAGACAAATCCACGTTTCCTGCATTATTGTCAAACTTTTCAAAGCTCAAAGCAAACGATTTTTAAAAGTTACAATTCGAATATGCCACTGTCGGTATCAAACGAATATTAGAATATCAAACAATATTTTGCTGGTGAACTGCCTATAAATAATATATGATATAATTTTTCTGTCGACAGTTTCTTTCGTTCCTATTTCTTAATTTTTTATATTCAAAATTATTCCAAAAATTCCATCGTTAGTTTTTTATTATAACAATCATTTTTATGCATTATACCTACTATTCTATTTTTGACACTGCGCTTTTATCTTTTTAACTTCTCGTAGGGTAAGTTAGAGTAATCGAAAATTAAAATTTTTATATATCTTTACGTTTCAGAGGTTTCTGAACATTTTAGCATACCTTAGAAAAATTGAATGTATGTGTGTGTGTGTAAATTTTCGTCGACGATTTTGCAAACACGGATCAACTGATTTAATAATTCAAAAAACATTAGATTCCTACTGATAAGAAGACGTGCTGATTAGTTTTTGCCAAAGACAGGTCTAGCCGTTTCGGAGGTACGATGCAAAAAGTGCCAAAAATGGTATTTCAGTTTTTGAGATAACGGAGCGTCCAAATTAAATAATTCAAATAATATTTTACTTGTATTGACGAAATAAACAACTGGTTAAATTTTTGTAAAGGCAGGTCCAGCATCTCCGGAGATCCAATAAAAAAGTAATAAATAATGCCATTTGGCGATCAAAACTGAACATTAGACATATGTACATCGTATTATCAGATTTTTTATAAAGATTTGAATAATAGGTACAAATTTTGTGTACATTTATATGGATTCCTTACCAATGTTTATCTGTTATACTGCGACGCGGCGCGCACGCGCTTCTATATTTCGTTTCTACGCAGCTAACGTATCGCGATCGCTTTGAAAAAAACTTCAAAATTCCCAAAATATTTCTAAGTATAAAAAAATCAAATTTTTCAAACCGGCCAATTTTCTTCAAAAATTTTAAAAATCTCAAAAGATCGAATTCTTCAGAGTTCTAAAAGAAAATTAAATCTTTTTTAAAAAATTTAATTTTTGATACGGCAAGTTCCAGCAACCAGGTTTCAAACATTTTGCATATATTGCAATAAACTCTGGTTCAAACGTGATATTGAATTTAAGTATTAATGACACCTACATATTGACTGTTTGATCGCATTGATAAACTCCTTAGAAAACGGAACTCTAAAAGTAACTTAACTCTTGAATGTCTAAATTCACAATGAAGAAAATAGAACGCAATCACAAATACAAAAGAATTGATTACGAAATACAGGAAGTCTACGCGGAATTCCAGAAATAATAAATGATTAATGAAATTTAAATAACGTCATTCAAATTCATGGCATATAAAGTTTTATTATAATCTATAAATCTGCAGAAACTCTATTATCATCATGCATATCTTTTTATAGCTTATAAATGCAACTGAAAATAAATGCATTCATAATGCGATATGGCGGATTATATCCAAAAACTTTATTTCACGAGGATTTCAAATTAAATTATATTGTGATTTTCTTATTGTAAGATTTACTACTGCATCATTATTATTGTGACAGAAAGAAGAATATTAATAGAAAAAGTAAGAGGTTTAAAGACTTTTTAAGGAAGTTATATTATTTCACAAAGGTCCTTTTTCTAAGTACATATTTATTTATCGAAGGTATCCATAGTACAGAGATGCGCTATTCACAACCTAATATCAAGCATTAGTGATATCTATTTCAATATGGAAATAGAGTCCTGAAAATGTTTCTGAGTAGATATCGTCAAAAAGTTTTACTGAAAATTAATTACAACGATCTTTACAAAAAAGTAATCAACGCGATCCTTCAAGATCTTTTAAATTTTCAAAATCAGTTGGAGTTTTTTTGCGAAAACGTTAAAAATTGCACTTTCATGAAAATTCTGAAACTAATAAACTAGTCTTTCGCTAGTTCTGATGTTTATCAAATGATTTTCAAAATTTTAAAATTAATTCAGCCGTTTTTGAGAAAACTTTGAAGGATAAAAAATCGGCACATATTATGCACATTCATACTTTTACCAAATTTGGCCTTAAATGATTCAGAATCACGTGAGACATCTAGAAAACATAAATTTAGAAAATCTGGTTTTGTGGCAAAAAGAAACATCTTCGGAAGGATTTCGGAAAGTTAGAAAAAATGGGTACATTGTATAAATATCGTATCAAATGTGTTCTCAAATAAAATTTAACTAGTTGTGTATGGCATCGTGCCTTAAGGCAAATTGCTGGAACTTCCCGTACCGTAACGAAATGATCGAGAAATATTAAATATTTTCATATAGATTATTATAAATTCTGTAACATTGTCTAATATTTATAAGAGTTATATAAACTGAATAACAGTTTACAATTAAAATTATTTATTTAAAGTATATAAGTGATCTTTAGAACTTTAGCCAGAATTAAAATCAAAATCTGAATTATTTTCGAAATACAAAAAAAAATTTGGAAAAAAAATTGAAATGTTTTTTTTTTTTTCAAGAGCAATTATTTTGTCAAAACAAGCAGAACGACTTTTGAATCATTCAAATCGGATGCTTAGTTCTCTCAAAAACTGACATTTTTGCACATTTAGCTCGGTATCTCCGAAACGGCTGAGCCTGCCTTTTCCAAAATCTAATCACCACTTCTCCCCGTCAGTACGAATTGAATGTTTTTAGATCATTCAAATCGGATGCTTCGTTCTCTCAAAAACTCGATTTTCATTTAATGTACTATTCTGTAATGACAAATATAATTTATTATTTATTATTTTTGTTAGAGCACTACGTGCTATTTGAAGGTTATCCGAAGATCTTCCGGCCTTGCTGTTAGATTTTGGAATCACGTTTTGTTTACAATTATTTAGTATATAAGAAGTAGTTAAGATTTAGTTAGCAGTCAGAAGTCAGGAGTCAAGTCAGACTTACTGTTTAGATACTTAAAAAAATGTAGTCTCTGATCATCGATAACCAAACGGTTATCGAACAAATTATTTAATTGTAAAAATAGTAAACAATAAAAGATCAAGATCAACCAACAACCAGTATTTTTATCTTATCAACCGCTCAGCTCCAGCTACCAAACAACGTCCCATAATCACATGAGTGATACAACACCACACAATTACAGTTAAGTACTCATACTCCGTATCTCCAAAACAGCTAAACCTGCCTTTGCCAAAAAGTTTTTTGAAAAATTCAAATCGGTTGATCCGTGCGCCCGAAAATGTAGACGGATAATTGTATCCATACATACATACATACACACACACATCCATTGTTTCTGAGGTACGCCAAAATGTTCAGAAACCTTCAAAACGTGAAGAAATGTAAAAATTTTCAATTTAGATTTTTGGATTTGATTTAATACTTACCTTACGGGAAGTTGAAAAATGGGCTCCAAAATAATAAAGACGGTTCGGCAAATAAAAATACACATATCTTTTGCGTATGAAAATATTTAAGTGGACAATTTAATATAGTATTATTCTTTATAATATTAATGAGGCATGAAAAGTTAAATTCCGATAGTCATTAAGTTTCTTAATCTCAATTTATTATCAATGATGATTTTTTAATGTGCAAATTGAACCAATTACTTTCAGGAGTTGAGAACATTGCGATGCCGCGGCTGTGACCTGCGCATTATCAACACCCAACTATATCACTTATTACCGCAACTTCGTGAGTTGGATTTCGGCGAGAACTCGATCAACTATCTTCCCAAAGAAGATTTTTCTCAACTTAAGAAACTGAAGCACATGTACTTGGACGGTAACCGCCTAGCTGTGTTGTTACCCGGATTATTTAAACAACAAGCTCAACTATCGACACTTCATTTGGCGAATAATCGATTGGTAAAAATTGCCCCAAAAGCATTTGATGGGTTGAACTCTATAAGAGAACTTAACCTATCAGGGAATCAACTTGACGTACTAGAACTGCCAGTTATGGAACCCGTGATCGCAACTTTGCAAAGTTTTGACGTGAGTGGAAACCATCTGGACATGGATGATATCAGACCAGTTTTGCAGAATATGCATCTGTTGACCAACATTCGGTTGAGTCATTTGAAACTAGTGGACTTACCATTAGGTAAGATTATTATTACAATTAATATTTTTAAATAATATATGTATGAAAATATGAAATGAATGTATTATACGAACATGTTGAATGTCCATTACAAATTATCTTCTTTTTAGAAAAATTTATAGCGATGAACAAATCGTAAATATAAATAGTTGAACTCTGGAAATATAAAATAATCAACAGTTTGTTAAAGAAACAAAAAGATTTTGTTGAAACATATAATTTGATAGGGTGCATTCAACAAAAATTACTTGTGGTAAATTCATGCATATGTATAAAGTCAACCCTCCGATAACGCGGTACCGTGCTATATGGAAATCGTGCTATGAGAAACATGGATTCAACGTACAACCCACACTCATTCGAAGTGCGTTCTAGGAAAACCGGCCATCACGTTGTATGGAAACCGTGCTATAAGAATTAGTAGTCACATATCTCACTGCCTTATATGGAGACCAACCAGATAGGATAGATTACAATTTTTTTTATTGAATTGAAGAATTGATGTAAAGTTATGATACAATCTGTTTTCTGTCAATAAGCAGATTTTTTTTTTTGAAAGACTAGCGACCTGTAAATGACACTATCTATATCGTATGTGTTTATAAACAAACCGTAAAAGCCAAAAAAGTCTATAACAAAAATTACATTAAAATTAGTGGGTCATTCATAGGTTGCGCGTAAGAAACTTATGGGTTATTGAACAAAAACCGTTTTGGAGGAGTACCGTGTTATCGCAGGGCTGTCACAGTTTCAGCTCCGCGTAGCATGGAAACCGCGTTTCCAGATTACCATGTTAACGGAAGGTTGACTGTATACAGTAAACACTCGCTTAACGCGGCAAGTGTGTACCGTGCAGTATGGTGACCGTGCTATAAAAAACTCGTATTTAACATACAATTCAGGCTAATTCGTAGTGCGTTCTACGGAATCTTACATAGTGCAGTATGGGAACCGCGCTAACAGAGACTCAGAGTTAGTACAAATCGCATCGTACAAATTTGTTACGTCTACAGCGCACAAAGCAAAATTATCCTCGTTGTTTGCATCTAATGCGCAAAATCTTAACAATTACCTCAGACGCCAAAATGTTATTATGAAACCATCAGAAAATTTGGATAGGATTTTTCTTAAATTTTTATTGCTTACATGAGTCCATGCACATGAACAGAAATACATGGACGCCAGTTCCTTTCATTTTGATGTCATCATGCAGTCGAAGTACCTTTGAGATTACACGATATACATTGAGTTCACTGCATAATTTCACGAAAATGTTCAATATTTCATTGCACATTAAATTTTGACAATCTGTTTTACAATTAATTAACAATTTCACCATTTGGTTCAGTCTAAAATGTTCTTCATTATGTACCCAAAGTGACACGAGATACACTGTCCTTCAAAATTCTGCCACTGATGTTACATAATGTCTTACTTCGGTGGAAGCCGACAAACAAATGATAAAACTACATTTGTAAATGATAATATTTAGTACCTTCCAGTCACGGTTAGAGTTCAGGTCAAATATTTATATTTATTATTAAGGATTCCTTACAAATGCTAACCCACAAAATAACTGCGCCATCTTTTGCAAATCTAAAATTCTTTACAAAAAATGATACCTCTAATCAAAACTTTTCAATCATCATATCGGACTCACCATTATACTATATATAGGAGAACTATATTTGAAATTAATATGATGCATTTCGAAATATAACTCATTTCCTTATTGAATTATCAGATCAGTATTTAGACCTGCAGAAAAAACTAGAAAAAGTAGATAGAAAAATTTAATGAAGTCTATTCTTCAATAATACTATAAATAATTTGAAATAACAAATAAGCAAAATAAATCATGTTTAGAACTCCAACAAAGAAGTATCAAAATCGTAATTACAATTTAAATTGCGTTTTATTAATTAATAGTTTTTATAGTATTGAAAACCATTCAATTAGATGTGGTAATTGTACTGCGTTTTTATCTGAAATAGTGGCGGGAATAGCTCAATCAGTAACATGCCTGACTCACGCGCCAAGAATACTTGGTTCGAGTCCCTGGCACAAGAATTTTCATTTGTTTTCAATAAAAATTTATTAGAAAAAACTGAAATTTGGAATGTTATGTTGAAAAGTGTATTGCCTATTTTAAGGTGGCCTTACGTCCCGGTTTGCCCGGGACACTCCAGTATTTCAACCTAGTGTTCCGGGTTTTTTTTCAGAGGAATTTCAGAATTTAGAACTTTTGTCCCGGGTTTTCAGAAAGTAAAGATTAAAATTGATAATAAAATCAATTACTTGATAATAAAATTACAATCATCCATGAAATTTGCAAATGATATATGCAAAGAAGTATTTTTATATCAAACAACACGTAGCCGAATTCGAAATTTCGAAGGCAGGTTAAAATAGCCTCTCACTTTAAAAATTTTGGGGCTTTATTTTGAATTTTATAAAAAATAGCAAAACATATGCAAAGGAACTTTTTGACTGGATGGTACAAGCGCTAAGTATTAACAGCTTAATTATGAAGAAAATTAAAGATTTATGTCTAAGCAAAAAAATATAAGATATTGTATAACATGATCGAATAATGAAGTTCTTTAAAAGTCGGTAATCTTAGTTTAAAAAAAAATATTTATTTAAAAACATGATTTTATGAAATCCTTAAACAGTATGTTTTCAAGTTATTTAGCATTAAAAACAGCCTCCCCCCTCTGTCCCAGATTAGCATAACCAAAAATCGTCCCGGTTTTGACCTAAAACAATATGGTCACCTTGCTATTCGAATATTGCTAATATGATGATGTATGCTTAAATTCTTCAACTTCATTTAATAAATAATGGGCTTCCAAAGTCGGTGTTTTATTTTTTTGAATACTACTTATTTCAATTGTTTTGTGTAAGAGAATGTTATTAATAGTCTTCGGCTCCTCTCGAGTAAAAAATGGAAAGAACTTTTAACACTAATAGTGAAAATATTATAGAAAATTAATAAACTGCTCACGAATTTTCACTCGGTTTATTATAATCAATCATTTATCATTCGCATTAGGTGTTCATGTTGAACTGGGTTGTCGGGGCAATTAAATATAACGCTCGCTAAGCGTATACAAATAATCGCGTATAAGCCTTATGACATGTCGGATTAATCCTGTGAAAATTTTGTGCTAAGCTCTTTTATTTGCCACACTTTTGTAAGTACTCGCCGAACGCGTACACTGCGGCCAAATCCTACTACGCAATGTATTATATATTTACTACTATGTTGATGTAAATATTTTGATAGGAATTTACGACTTCAATCTACTGAAGTATCCATAATTCACAATTTTAAAAACTTCTGTTTGCTTGTTATAAAGGCTATGAGTAAGTAAGTTTTATTACGCGCTACGTGAAATCGTTGAGTTCTTGAAATAATATTATCTCACAAAATTACAGGATATAAAAGCTAATAATAAAATAGTTAAAATATTGCTATGTAAAAGTTTTATTATTGTTTTTCGGCAAAGCCTTTTATAAATTGGTTGGCCTATATATTTAAGATGACCATACGTCTAGGTGTGGCCAGAACAGACCCGAATTCCACCTTGTGTCCCGGATTTTTCTAAAAGCAATATTTTCCCGGATTTAGATCTTTTGTTTGTTATTTTAAATAATATTTAAATTATTCAGTTCAAAGACATCGCCCACGGTTTTCCGTCCCAGTTTTGACCTTAAAAAATATGGTCACCATAATTTTATACATACTTTGAAGCAATCCAGTACTTGTCCCTTCTAATAGTAATGATATATTTTAACTTATTGCAACAATGCCAAAAAAAACTTTTTTACATGCAAATACATTTTTGGTCTATATTTTCAAAAAAAAACGGACATCACTTCTGCTGGTACCTAGTTGTGCAAAACGTGGATTTGAACTCAAGACTGTGTGATTACAGTTTATGACTGATTAGTAATATTAGAGTATACAAAAGACCACCCATTAATCTTTGATGTCAAACTAAATGTGTTAATTAATATCATTAATTTACACTATTGCAATATACCATGTTATCAAAAATAAAATTTGCTTTAATATTTAATCATCCCGGTTGATCTGACCTAATCCAAAAACTAATTAGCAAGATTCATAAATCATATCATTCAAACAAATTTTAAATTTTGTTCAAGATTTTGCCTAAACCGTGGACAAAAAATGCACTTTCTACTAATTATAAAGAAACGGCTTGGGCGATCTTCGCGCAAAACTAATCAACGCGAGTTCCTATCGAGCTGTTAGCTTTCAAATTTTGTACACACATTTAATATACACTATTTGCAATTTTGGTCTCAAACAATTGAATGACTTGAAAAATACTAACAAACGTTTAAAAAATATAAAATTAGCAAGTCGGATTTTTTGGCAAAAACATAAACTGCACCATCGTGAAATTAAAAAATATTACTTACATCATTTGAAAACATATACTGAGGGCGCGATATAAATTTTGTAGTGCTTATTAGTTATATTAAAATTTAGTTAATTTATATTAGAATTAGTTTGCTAAGCTCGTTAATTTGTTATAACCACTATTATTGTGGTATGGTTCATTTTATGGTACTTACAACTTTAGCCTTATATCAAAAGATTAAAGTATAGTAGTACAGCTTATAGAGTTATTGGATTTTCTTAATGGAAAATATTTTATCGTAACATTAATGTGCTAAGCACGCGCGGAATTATATACTATGCACTAACTTGAAACATTCGAACAAATGATGTAATTCAGATCAGGTATATAAATATGTTTCATTTTATGGTTTGTATATATATATATATATATATATATATATATATATATGTATGTATGTATATAAGTATACATTTTTGTAACGCAAACTACGATTTCTGGTAGCCAATTTTATCGTTGAATCTATTTTAGTCAACACTTCCTTTATTATTAGTTAAGATTTTGCATTTATTTTCAAGCTCTAAAACAATTAAAGAACTAAGCCATCAAATGTATATATATACTCCTACGTTTAATGGAGAGTAGGTCACATCCTCCTCCTAAGATTCAAGGATTACGCAACTATTACCCTAATAAGTATGAAGTAAATCGTAAATTTAATTGTTTGAGTTGATTAAACTACTATCACGTTTTATGTACTCTAACTTTAACTTCATTCTAATTATAATTTTAAAAACGCAAACGCGCCCTGTTCGACCTTATTTCAAACTTTGCAAAGTACTAAAATTAGAAAATGTAAAGCAAGTTTGATTGCGTATCACGAATCATACTAATATATTTGAAAACAAAAAAAATTTCAAGATGGATATTTATCTTTACCACATGTCTAATTTACAAAGTCTGCGCACGTCTTCTTATTTTCTAATTACAATGAATTATTTAATTATTCACAATGTCTTCAAGTTGTTTTTACATTATTATTCATGAAACATAAATGATACATGAAAATATTTTATAACCTCCCTTGAATCTCTACTTCTGTAAATTCTTGCAAAGAAAAATTTTGCTTAACTTAAGAGTGTTTTGTTCTAACAGTTTTAATGATATATAATATATAATAATAATAAATTATAGGATAAAAATCGATAGGTTTTTTATTAAAATGTTATATTCCAATTGAACTAAAGTAATCAATACTTTTTTTTATTTCATCCCATGATCGAATGATGTGAATTTTTTTAACGTCTTTACTTTTTTATGAAATCTATTACTTATTTATATTTAAAAAACTTTTTTAAAAAAAATAGTGGTGCATAGCCTAGTGCCTTATGACAAATTGCTGTAACTTCACGTACCGTAATTTAATATATTTAAAAGCTTTAAAATTTTGTTGGAAATTTTGATACAATTAGATTTGCGAGAATTTTGATAAACATATTTGAAAAAAATTGGACTATTTTCAAAAATTTGAATTTGTTATATTTTTGAATATTTTGAATCTATTTCAAACCTGCGTAGCTGTTTTAAAGCCGAAATATCGAAACGTGTAAACAAAATTTGTGTTTATTACTAAAATCTCTATAAAATATCTGATAAATTAATGGGCATGCATCTAATGATCATTTTTGGCCGTCATATAGCAATTTTTTTACATTTTGTATTAGATCTCCAAAACCGCTGGACCTGTCTTCCTTGATCAGTTTTTCATTTTGTCAATACGAGTAAAATGTCAATTATTCAAATCGGACGCCCCGTTCTCTCAAAAACTGAATTACCATTTTTGGCAATGTTTGTCCTGTATCTTCGAAACGGCTGGACCTGCCTTTGCCAAAAAGTAATCAGCACGTCTCCCCATTAATGGGAATCGAATGTTTTTTGAATTCTTCAAATGCACAGACACATATACATTCATTTTTTTAAGGTATGTCAAGATGTTAATAACCTTTGAAAAGTGAAGATAAATGAAAATTTTCGTTTTTTGCGATTACCCTACGGGAAGTTAATGATTAGGTCTATCCCTAATGGCGTTTGTTAAGATGTAAACAGTAACTTTTGTTTATTCAGTAGCAGAAATCCGGAGCGTTATATAATCTAGAGGTGCTGACGATAGTTTTTCGCCGAGACACGTTTTCTATACTCACGTGTTATCAAATTTCTTATGTTCAAATATATTATCGTAAAAGTGCAACGCAATGAAAGCGAGCAGGCCAAGGGAAAAAGTACTACGTGAAATGCATCACTGAAACTTATTATCCGGTTCGCTTAATCAACGTATTACAGTTTCAGGTCACAAAACATTTTTATGAACACATATTTGAAAATTTCAAAAAGAAACTGTTGGAATTTTATTGGGATTCAGCCTTTTTCAGTTTCAAATTTGTTAACACTATTTTTGCCATTATAAGGTCAATATTATGAATTTTATTGTTAAGGGAATTTAGGATTACCTGCTAATTTACGTAAAATTTTGTATTCATTGTAAATATCACACGAAAACCTTTTTTTCTCTACTCTAATAATTGCAGGCCTCAGCGTTTGCAAGAATAAAAGCTGTCAAATTTACGTAAATATTATGCGTTATATTCCATTAACTAATTAAAATATTGATTACAGTTTAATGTAATATCGTAAAATTTGTTTTCAATGAATAAATAAACTCTTAGAGCAAATAACTTTATATCTTCTTCAGATCAAAAGATTAATTAAAACGGTCTCAGAATCTGTTTCTAGACTTATGCAAATATTTGTAATCAATGGTATATACAACTAAATTTATGTTATCTTAATGACAAAACTGGAATTTCGAAATTATTTCAAAAAGCTCAACACTACAAGCATTCCACTATTGCAATGCAGACAATTTAGCATTCTTGAAATATTAGGGGATGTAACATTGTACGAATTAATATTCTGCAAAGATATCACATGTACGTACGAAAAGCCAACAATTTCTTAAACATTTATTTGCGAATAAGTAATGGCAAATAATTATTTTTAATAATATTAAACACATTTAATAATATTTGAACTATAAAAAATAAATAGTATGCGTGGAATTAATATTTATTAATATAACATAATTTCAGTTTTCGAAAAAATGTTAGAATTTGTGTTTATTTAGGTATATAACCAACATCAAATAAATATTTTTAAATAATATTGGTAAATATAACATAGGGTAGGGCGGTGCACATAGGTCCAATTTGACTTTGAGCTAATATATTGTGAAAACCAAACCAATTACAATTACATCACAATAAATGCCACATCTCAAACAAACGACTATAAAACTCCCAGCAAATTCATCATTGTACTAAAATTTGTTTTTTGCTATTTTTCAAAAATATGTCACCTGGTCCTTTGTGCCCCATAGACAGTGTAAAATGGTACGCCCAGGGGGTAAATAGGTATAATGTCTTAATTTTAATTTTAAAGGAATTTTACTAAATAATAGCTACATTATTCATGCAAAGTTCATTCAGTGCAAAATATAAATTTTATGGGTACATTTTTTACAGAGATAATACTGTATATAACACCTTGATCTGCTTTTTCGTCAGACATATTTATCAGTAGAGGTGGTATAACTATTTATTTATACTTTGAAAAATTGATTATTTTTAACTTAATTTACTTTCTTATTCTTTATTTTTATTGTTTATACCATTGCCAAGGTAAGATTCAGTTGGTCCATTTTACCCCACAAATGTGTAAGCTTTTATTATAAAATAAAAGCTGTTAAATCTAGCTTAAAATTAACAAAACTTCTTATAAAACAATTAAATAACCTATCGACAATTCGTGTGTACCTATACCTACCGGGCTCGGTTAAATTGACCCACAATTAAAAAGTTATCTATTTTATTATTTAATTCAGATAATAATTGATTTATGGTTTAATATATATAAAATAAAGAAATTTTAATGAAGTTTTATCTAAATTTATTTTTATAGAATATCTTAAAAAAATTATGAGAAAAAAACGAATAAAATTAAATATTTATACAAAATGCCATATGGATATGCATACATGTATACTTTATTCGGCTTTCTCATTTTATTAACTTCCCGTAGGGCAAGTTATAGTAATCGCAAAAAAATCAAAAATGAAAATTTTTGCATTTCTCGACATTTCAAAGGTTTCTGAACATTTTGGCATACCTTAGAAAAAATGGATGTATGTGTGTGTGTGTGTGTGTGTGTGTGTATGTGCGTGTGTGTATGTATGTTCGGATATAAATTTTCGTCGACGATTTCGGGAACACGGATCAACCGATTTGAATAATTCAAAAAACATTCGATTCGTATTGATAAGGAGACGTGCTGATTAGTTTTTGGCGAAGGCAGGTCTAGCCGTTCCGAAGATACGGGGCAAAAAGTGCCGAAAACGGTAACTTAGTTTTTAAGAGAACGGAGCGTCCGATTTGAATAATTCAAAAAACATTTGATGTATTGACTAAATGAAGAACTGTTCAAATTTTTGGAAAGGCCGGTCCAACGACTTTGGAGATATGGAGGAAAAAGTAAAAAAAATGAGCCATTTGGCATAAATGAAAAAATGATTTTCAAAAATGAACATTAGACATATGCACATCAAATTATCAGATATTTTATAGAGATTTCAACAATAAGTATAAATTCTGTTTACATTCCTATGGGTTCCGCACCAATGTTTACGCGTTAGACGGCGACGCGGCGCTTACGCACTTTGATATTTCGTCTCTATGCAGTTAAAGCAGTCAGAATTTCCAAAATATTTCAAAGTAAATGATTTAAGATAGAATGATTTAATATGGTTCAAAATTCTATTAAAAGTTTCAAATCATTGATCAACTTTTATTGATTATTATTATTGATTATTTTATATAAAATTATTCGAATTTTGAATTGCGGTACGGGAAGTTCCAGCAATTTGCCTTAAGGCACGATGCCCTAATTGCCTTAAGACAGAATTTCATTTACAGCTAGTTTACCAATTATTTTAGTCTGAAATGTTTATTTGAAGCAAATATATTTGTTGTTTCGTAATTTTTACAAAAAAAAATGTTTCATTTCAGTTTTTCATCCACACAAAGCCAAACTTATGAACAGTGTTGATAAAAATTTGAATTTCTGTGTTAATGAAAACTTGGACCTTTAAACCCCGTTCTACCCTTTCCATAATACCCATAAACCAAGTTTTAAACTATAATAAAGTATATTTATAATATGTTGAAAATCCAAATAACACAAATTGCCCTCGGTCACCTCTTTCCTTCCTCAGACCCCACCCCTGCATAGAATCGAATAAACAAATGTTTACATAATTATTTCGCTTGCACGTTGATAATATGATCAAAACAGTATAACAATATAATGTACATCTGTAGAGTCCCGAGTCTCGACCAGAGACCGCAGCCACTCGTACCAACGTACGTTCGCTAATTGCATTTTCCTCTCCAGGTCTGTTCGAAGAGAACGGCAAGTTGAAGCGCGTCGACCTGTCTCACAACGAATTGCAAGCGATCCCGATACAGATCCTGGCGCATTTGTCCAAGCTCGAAGAATTGGATTTGCGTCACAACCAATTACGCGGCATCGAGGAGCGTTTATCGCAACGCTTCACGGCGATCGATCGGGTCTTCCTGGCGGAGAATCCGTGGCAGTGCGACATGTGTCACGTGCGCTCCCTCATTGGGCCCCATTACAGGTATGTATCGCATCGAAATTAATCACTGTTACTGTTACTGTTAGCGATCACTAAACAAATTGTTGCAAATATTGGTACACGACTATCGATCTCACGAGACTAGTATGCTACAAGGTAGGGGAGACTGGGTAAGGTAATGACAGTCGTCATAACAGCTAGACTATACTGATTTTGAGATAGGGTCCAAAGGGACGAAGATGAAGTTTGTTTGTTTAAACAAGTTTCCATTATTGCATTGAGTCAGCACTAGGGTTTGTCGGTTTTCAAAAACCGGTTTTTTGGCAAAATTATGAGATTAGAAAACCGTTTTTTAGTGAAAAAAGTCGTTTTTCGCTGTATAAATAGAAAATGACAAATATAGCCAAATATAAAAGATAGATGAAAGCGTTTTGATTCTTGAAATCATATCGGTTCAATAACATTTTATATCTTATAAGACTGCAATGGTTCCCTGAAATGTTTTGTATATATTAATTTAGATTTTTATACCAGTGTATATATTAATTTAAATCAGTGTGACTTCTTCTTGATGAAGTAACTTTCAGTACTCAAACTTAAAAAAAGAGTTTTAAACCCTAGAAGCCACAAATTAAAGAACAAAAAATTATTATATCAGACTTTAAAAATAATTAAGCACAATTTGGTCGCTAGTATGAGAGTATTTTCTATTTCAGGAAATTTTGTGAGTAAACAAAGGACACATCTACGTAGCAATTCGATAGACGTACTCAGTTTTTTTGAAATCATATTTTATTAAACAAAAAACAATTAGAATGTTTAAAATTAATTAATTAAAATTTCTCGGAATAGACAATACCCGAGTTTAGCTTAATTGTTTTTAAAACTAAAATTGATATCAAAAAGTCAACATGAATCTAATACTTTTTTACTCTTATTTTTCAATTTAATGATTTTTTTAATTTAGAAATGTATTATTTTTATTTATTCTAAAAACTTTCCTTTCACTATCATAACAATATTTTCATTCTTATATGTGAAAATGATGCATGAATAACAAATAATTATTTTCAAAGTTATTTAATCAAGATAAACTATTATTTTTTAGTTCTACTAATTAAAATTAAAATAGTTTTGTTTACTATCTATAAAATTGAACAATAAATAAATTCAGTCAAATTACACTAAATTTGCGGATAAATTACAGAATATTCGGGCAAAAAGTTATTTTCAATATAAAATTCGAAAACCGGTTAAAACCGGTTTTTTAGTGAAATTAGAATTCGAAAACCGGTTTTCTGAAATGTCGGTTTTTGTATAAACCGTAGTCAGCACCCTACATTAACAAGATCTGTAGACCGCTTTGCTTCTAAAGAAACAAAAATATGTCTTTCCGTTCGTTTTTTTTAATAATAACTGTTACTTGTATACAGATAAATTACTTTGTTGATAGTTCGATCATACGATGATTTGTGTCCAAAAGTATGAGGTTGAGTACGGTTGTAACAAATTCATGGTTGTGATGTTTTTAATGTCTTGATGTAAAAAGCAATACTAGAAAAGAAATATTCTGTCTGGTTTGTGGAAGCTCATATTCTGAAAGTAGAGGTAGCGTAAAATAGATCGAGATTCAAGGGACGATTTTTGATTCCACGTAAAATGCGCAGGTGATAGTCATTATTACATTTGTCACAGTTGTAATGATGATTCTGACTAGATATCAGTTTTGATTGATTAGTTAACTGATAATTATTAATTAACATTTTTGACTGACTTTAAGAAGAAGTTTATAGTAACACTAGTCGTGATGGTGACATCATTTATAAGAAGGAAAGTGATAGTATAGTTAAATTTATTTCTTGTTAACTTAGTTTAGAAAATATGTTATAATAAATTGTTATATTATATTTAAAAGTTTTGTGATTGTTTAAATAATTATGTTGTAATGTGTTACATATTTCTGAAAACAAATCCATTATAAATCATTTTGGTTTATAGCCATATTGTTTTTCAATCTATATTTATGCCTGTCACAACCGTCCTGGAGGTGCGACGGTTCGCATTTTATGACTAATCTACCGTATTTAAAGACAATATTTTAGTATTTTTACATAGACAAATGTTTAAATTACCATTTAATTTACTTTTCTCCGAGCTAACGGGTGAATTAATAAAATTATTGCTGATCAAAAAATGGACAAAAAAATATTTATTTGAATGTTGAATTTGAATAATGAATCGCGCTGTTGTCTTCGAATTCAAACCGTCTTTGCATCTATACTCTATACTAGAGTCTATACAAATAAATAAAATTGGAGTGTCAGTTTGTAATACTGAAATAGCCCTTTTTTAATACATGCATATGAATATAAATAGGTTATGTGCATCAGATTAACAGTTTTTCTCTACAAAATAAAATTTTAAGGCAAAAAATTGATTCATCTACCTTATAGATCAATGCAAATCCTTGACACTCGTCGTAACAAATCAGTATTACTCATATCGTGTTCTGAATCATATTTTTCATACCACAAACTGAACAAAATCAGAAAACTAAAAATGAAATATAATTTGGATACATTGCATAATTCAAATTATTTGATTGTAATTTCTGAACTAGTAGTAGAAACTTTAAATCGTTTTTCTTGGCACTGAACGCAGAAGATATTTAGCAAAACTAATCTGAATTTAAATGTTTGCATAACACAGACTAGTAGGACATTTACATATTTTTATATAATGGTCATGCATTTGGATATAATCATTATAACATATTATTTAAAGTTTAGGAAACATTCATGTTTATTGTGGTTTTATGTTGTGCTCCTATATGATTTATTTTATGGCATTTATACTCATTTGTACTATTTGTTCTCATTATAGGATTTATAAGCCCATCAATATTTTTTTTTGTGATTATTAGGGAAGTTATACTCTTATAACGCTTTTAAACCTAATCAATTAATAATACGTAAATAATTATTATCTTTCCGTAAGTTATAGTAAACGCCAAAACAATCGAAAATGATAATTTTAGCATATTTTACGTTTTAAAGTTTTCTGAACATTTTGGCATACCTTAGAAAAAATATGTGTATGTGTGTATTGATGATTCAGTTATTAAGATAATTCAAAAAACATTCGATTCCTATAAAAAGCGCCAAAAATAGCAAGTCAATTTTGGAGAGAACCGAGCGTCCGCAAAATTTGAATTTTTAGGAAGGCGAGTTTAGCGGTTTTGAAGATCCAATAAAAAAAAGTTATATAATGGCCATTTGGCGGTTGTCAGATATCTTATAGAGATTTTAATAATAGGTACAAAATTTTGTTTTAATTTTTTGGGTTCCGTACCAAAATTTATAATGTTTAACCGATACACTGCAAGGCGGAGCTTTTTTAGGAGATCCAATAAAAATAGTTAAAAAAATGCCATTTGGCAGTTGTCAGATATCTTATAAAGATTTTAATAATGGGTACAAATTTTGTTTCAATTTCTTTGGGTTCTATGTCAAAATTTATAATGTGTAACCGTTCCACTGCAAGGCGGCGTTTTTTTTAGGAGATCCAATAAAAAAGTTTAAAAAATGCCATTTGGCGGTTGTCAGATATCTTATAGAGATTTTAATAATAAAAATTTTGTTTCAATTTTTTTGGGTTTTGTATCAAAATTTATAATGTGCTTCAAGGCACGATGCCATGCACGACTAGTTTATTTTAAAACTTTAACTGTTTTTTAACTTCCCGTAGGGTAGTTATAGTAATGGGTCGAAAATCAAAGAATAAAATGTTTGCATATCTTAACTTTTTAAAGGTTTCTGAACATTTTGGCATACTTCAGAAAAAATGGATGTGTGTGTGTGTGTTTTGTGTGCATGGACCAACCGATTTGAATGGTTCAAAAAATAATCAATTCCTATTGATAGGAAGATATGCTGATTAGTTTTTGGCAAAGGCAGGTCCAACCGTTATGGAGATACGGAGCAAAAAGTGCAGAAAATAGAAATCGGTTTGAGAGAACGGAGTATCCGATTTGATATTCCAAAAAAACATTCGATTTGATTAAAAGATGTGTTTAGTTTTAGGCAAAGGTACGTTCAGCCGTTTTGGAGGTACCGAGCTAATTGTGGAAAAAATGGCAGTTTTTGAGAGAACTAAGCATCCGATTTGAATGATTCAAAAAACAAAATAATTGCTTTTGGAGAAAAAGATTATTTCATTTTTTTAACATTTTTTTTCTATATCGAAAATAATGCAGATATTAATTTTAATTCTGGCTAAAGTTCTAAAGCTGACTTATATACTCTAAATAAATAATTTTAACATTGTAATTCAGTTTATATAATTTTTATAAATATTAGACAATGTTATAGTATTTATAATAATGTATTTCAAACATTTAATATTCCTTGAATATTTCGTTACGGTACGGGAAGTTCCAGCAATTTGCCTTAAGGCACGATGCCATGCGCCCCACTAGTTTCGCTATAGATTTATCTAAGATTGACAGCTCCATCGTAAAATTTCCATTACAAAATTTGAAGACTCTACTCATCTCCCTTGCTAATCTTAACCGGAGCTAACAAAAGAATTCTTCCAGCATATTTTCGATGGCATGTGCTGCTTGAAATCGCTCGTTGAACCGTGTAACAGCTTCGCTGAACGCGTTTATTTTATTGCAAGCAACGGTCTTGGATATCTTTATCTAAATATACTTTACAGATCGGAGTAGCAAAGGATAATAAAATTGTATATGGAAGATATCGTGCCGTGCAAGTATAAGAATTCAAACAATCCCAAGAAATGTCTTATGTGCTACGTGATATCTCAGTAAGATATCATTAAGGGTTGCATAATGCGATCATGCGTTCGCTGACGATATGTTCTACGTTTGAATTCCGGAATGATGTGAAAGAATAATATTGTATTTCAAATTTACCCTTTATCGTGAAAACGATCTATATGCATAGTTTAACGATTCAGTTTTAAGCATGATTAAAATCATTTTTTCCAAGATCAATTTTATCCACATGCGATGCGATTATATCCTTACTGTAACCGTCTGTATTAAAATAAGATATAATTTTTGTAATCGAAAATTAAAATTTTTCTTTTTCTTTACGTTTCAAAGGTTTCTGAACATTTTGACATATTTTAGAAAAAATGGATGTATGTGTGTGTGTGAAATTTTCGTGGACGATTTCGAGAACACGGATCAACCGATTTGAATAATTTAAAAAATATTCTGTTCGTATTGATAAGGAGACTGATTACTTTTAGGCTGAAGCAGTATCAGCTGTTTCAAAAATACGGGCTAAAAATGGTATTTTAGTTTTGATTTGAATGATAAAAACATTCTATTTGTATTGAACAAACTATTAAATTTTTGGAATGGCAGGTCTAGCGGTTTCCGAGATCAAATAAAAAAACAAAAAAATGTCATTTCGAGGTCAAAAATGATTATTAGACATATGCACATCAAATTATCAGAAGTTTTATAGAGATTTTAATAATAAGTAAAATTTTAGTTCCATGGGTTCCGTTCTAAATTTTAACCCGTTATACTGCGACGCGTCGCTTACGCGCTTATAATTTTGTTTCTACGCAGCAATAAAGCATCGCAATTGCTTTGAAAAAGAGTTTTCAAAATATTAGGTTGTCAAATATCTCCCTTCCGCTTTTTTGCTATCGGTTTATAATACAAAAAGGCGGAAGGGAGATATTTGACAACCTAATATAAAAACCAAGTTTAAATTTTTTAAGAAAGTCAATTTTATTCAAAAATTTCAAAATTCCCAGAAATTCAATTTCTTCAAAGTTTTCAAAGTATTTTAATGCTATTTAAAAAAAAAAAAATTTTGGTACGGGAAGTTCCAGCAATTAGCCTTGGCACAAAGTCATGGACCACTAGTTAATTTTTGAATATCTAATAATCATTCAAATTATTAAATGTAAATTATTTATTAATAAACTGAAATTATTGATAAAAGTAATATTATTAACCAACTTAAAATATTAAAGTATACTAATTATACTACCTAATAATAATTAAATGAATCAATTTATTCAATAGAAAGGTGCGCATATTAATCAAATGACTAGAATAAATAAATAAAAGTATGAAGTAGAATAAATAAAAGAATTTAAAATAAAATTTAAGGTTTAATAAAATTATCGGATATTTTGTAAAATTATTACATAAGTAGTCATATCGTTTACTTCTCCAAATACTGAGTAATGGAAATATTTTTTCCATCAAATATTGATAAACTAACAAACGAAAAATTGTTTTCTCTTATTCTTTCTGTAACTTGGAGAAATAATGCTCCAGGTGTATCTTTGCAGCTAACACCTCCATGTAACTCCCTCCCTCAATTCTTATACTTTCACTTCCAATCACCAGCTGACTGATTTTCTTGCTGCTCCTGTGAAAGGTCAGTTTTACAAGCTATCATGGAACTTCTTACTACTTGATTCATTCCACAATCGCCACCGCCAATGGAATCCACTTCTCTTCTTTTGACAGGAGTTGAAGTGAGGAGAATTTTGTTTGGAATCTCCTGCCCGTTTTCAAAATCATTTGCGAATACACCTTGATATCTCAATTTTCTCAAAACCTCGTTCTGATAGCTTCATCTCTACTGTTCATCTTAAAACTTTATGTTGTACTTTGAATTAATTTTTTGCCTTTATGCAAACAAATGAAAATGTAGGCTTCAAAATTCGCGCACGCGGCCACCTTGATTTATCGAGATTCCCTTGTTTAGATAATGTATCTCATATAAAATATGTAAATTATAATAACATTTATATTAATATTTTCATTATATATTTAATATATAATACAATACAGTTCAAATAAAAAATTAAAACCGTTTTCAAACAAGATATTTAATGAATTGCAATGATTATGTATAAATGCTGCTCCATTGTACGTTGGATCTAAACTGCAAAAAATATATGACTATCTTAGGGAGCGTCCATTAATCATGTGATCGATTTTTTAAGGATTTTTGGAACCCCCTCCCCTTTGGTAATACGTGATGATATTTGAAATTACCCCTCCCTCTCCCCCACCAAACATCACATATATTTTTAGTTACGAGAAAAAATTGTGGATTTTGTTTATTGAACATTTATGGATTTTTTAAAAAACATTCGAATTAATTCATTAATAGTTTCTAATGATGCTACTATCTTTCACTTACTATGAAGCGTTTTTTTTCACCTAGCCCAATCACGTCATAGTTCATTTATATTATTATTTTTGTATTACTGTTTTTATTTTATTTTTATTTTAACTTTTTCATTTTAAATTCAATTTATTGTATTTTTTGTATTTTTTCTTGTTTTGCACATATCAATTTTGTAAATAAGACATTAAAGTCTTGATTAACAAAAATAAATTATTATTATTACTAAGCGTTTTTTCGTGTATATTTAAGCGTCATCATTTATAAGCTCTTATATTTTGTCTATACAATACGAAGAATAAAAGTTACAGTATTTATAATAATATATTTGAAAACATTTAATTCCATTTAAATCAAGTTTCAGCGATTCGGCTTAAGGCACAATGCCTTATACCACTAGTTTATTTCATATTGAAGCTATTGCAATTATAACTATATAATTAAAACGATATATATGAATCGATTTGAATAAATAAACGATTTGATTAAGACTCCTGATATTTATATTTGATTTTATAATGATATTTGATATCTATCAGATATCAAATTTTGTATAGAGTCATGAAAATATTATTTTTCAAAGTTACATTTTAATTGTTTTATGATCATTTAAGATCATTTTTATTAAGATTATTTTTATTATAAAACGTAAAATTCGTGCAACAATTGTTCTAATACGTCATTTTTCTGGTAATAGATGATTTTCATGCCGATTATATTTACTATTATAAAACATATTGGTGAAGATTTTATAGATTTTTAATAACGTATTCTTTCTTAGGTGGGACGATCCGATATGTGCCAGTCCATCAATATTACGAGGACAACTTTTATCATCTGTCAAAGAATCAGATCTCGGCTGGTGCACATTGGGGGCCGGAGGAAGGGATGCTGCCAGTACTGAACTCATCAGGAGAGACGGTCCATTTGGAGCGTATGTCGCGATTGGAATACCGTTGGTGCTTTTTGGTATGTATAGAAAATTACAAATTAAGATATGCAAAAAAAAATCTATTTTATTAGTTATCTTGTTTGTCCATTCATAAAAGTAAAAATACGCTTATACAATATAAATGAATTGTGTCCTACACCTAGATTTTCCGAATTGTGCCTATGATATTTTCTATGTTCAAAATATGCAATTCTATTCAGCATAAGAATATACAAGTAAATAAATACACCAAAAATAGTTACATTTTGAGGGACTGCAAAGGACGAGAAAAATGCCTACTTGCATGTTAAATTAAATGTGTTATTTTGTAAATTGTATATATTTATAATTGTGCAATTATCTGTAATATGTTATTTTTTCAAGTTTTTTATGGCAGTAAAAACTATTATATTCATTAATTATACAGCAATTGTATGTGAGTCAAAAGCATACAAAATTAGATATGAGATTTTTTTTAAGTCACAATATAATAAGATGATTTTATTTTAGTAAAGAATATCGCATCACAATCAGCATAAACGTATTTACAGCTGATCTTAATGTGTTTTTAAATTTATTTGTAATTAGCAATTTTCTTATTAAAAATATACGGAATTAAATTTGTATCAATTACAGCTTCAAAAGTAAAATTTTTTTTTTTTTCTAGAAAACCAAAGAAATAATTTCACACATAGAAAGAACACACTTTTTACAATCATAAAGTAGATGTTTTTTATTTAGTATGTATATCTTAACACTTAACAGACGGGCTTTCCGGATTCAGATTTTTCGTTTCTGACTTTCTAAACGTAGACATGTAGATCTACGATTTTCTTGAAGTTTAGACATTTTGCAATAGTTTCTTTATGTTAAATACATTGGTATGTTATTTTATGGTATCACTGGATATTACTACAAATTATTTTTATTGCCCATCACACCAATTAATAGAAAAGACAAGGAAAGAAGTGCAAATAAATATTGTCATTATTATTTGTCATTTTTGTCAGGTTTCACTGCAAGAAGGTGAATGTTTTTTGATAAAGCACAAACTCAAACAATAAGAAATAGGGTAAAGAGGGGCTAAAACGTGCGCCAGTAAAAAGTTCCATCACCATTATCTCAAAAACATGTAAAGTTGAGTTTTTTGACGATACTATTTTAAAGTAGAGGCCAAAATGGTGTGTAATCAATCATCGCCTTAAATCGGGTGACATCGCAATCAGGAGCTAAACGCCACATTGTCAAATTTTTAATGATTTTTTTTTCATTGTTAGACTAAACCCCTATCTAATATTTTTCAAAAAAAATTATCCTGGTCCTTTTTACCATTGAGACGGCCAGAGGGCAAACAGTTTGCCAATGTTTTATTTTAATTTCAAATAGAGTTTACAAAAGAATAGCTACATTATTCAACGAATGCAATATATGAACTTCATGTGTGCATTTTTGGCAGAGATAATACTGTAAATATCTTGATCTCGTATTTCGTCAGAAATATTCATCAGCAGAGTTTAAAATACAATTTATTTAATTTATCTTTTGCAAAATATCTTTTTTTAACTTAATATACTTTTTTATTCACAATTTAGCATTTTTTACACCTTTGCCAGGGTAAATGCTCAGTTGGTCCTTTATAACCCACCCAGGTGTAAACTTTTATAGAGGTTATATAAAAGAAACTGTTGAATCTTACCTAAAATTATCAATACATCTTGTAAAACAATTAAATATCGTACACTTAAATATTATATTAAGGTCTTGTAAACTAAGCAACAGTGCACACGATCAAAAAAACGAAAAACGAATGAAAATACTTTTGTTACGGATTTTCAAATATTGCCATTTATCTCTCGATAGCAACGTGGTAAGAATCAAGGTGATGACTGGTTATACATTTTTTTCCCTCTACTTTCAAATAATGTTATTGAAAAATTCTTAACTTCACTGATTTTGCATTAAAATTAAAATTGTAATATCTTGTAATAAAAAAAGCTATTATAAAACATTCCATTGTTTAATTCTTGCATTTTCTTCCATTATGAACCAATTTGGAGAGGGCTCATTAGAGAGCCAATTAAAATCTCCTACATCACTCCAATTATTTACATCTTTTTGTAAAGCAGCACATTGAAAGTCAGAATCAATTCCAGCATAAATGTAATTATATGGAGCAAATCTCATATTGTTACTATCTTCTAAAATTGCCCTACTTGTAACATGCAAATATACGTCTACGTTTTTAGAAGAATGTAGTCTCATTTACTGGCAGGGCTCGCCCGTAGATAAGCGGTTAAGAGCGACAGGACTTGTGTCAGAGGTCCCGGGTTCGATACCCACTTCGAGCAGCCTGTTGTCAGGCAGCAGTGACAACGATTTTCACTTGGAAATATAGATAGCAATATGTTACCAAGTGAAAATAGCCCTTGCCCGGCATTGCTGCACCAATAAAAAGTCAGCCCTATTAGATTAATTCTAATAACAAAATCATTGAATATGGATGGATTAACTATTGGGTTACCATCTAAAAAATAGGAAGTAAGGAGAAGTTTCAGTCCAACGCTCATAGGACGTAAGGTTCTGATTGCTGTTAAAAATATTAAAAAAAGAAAAAAATTACTGGCAATATTGATGTAGTTACAGGATCACACATCACAGTGCTATCTTGAATTATTACAGTGCATTTATATATGCTACTTAATGTAATATCCTTTTTTTTGAGATATTGGTGGTAGACCTTTTTACCCGCGGACCTCTAAGTACCGCTCTACCCTAATTCAATAATTTCATTGCAATTACAGCTATTCAATCCATTTTATGTTTTGTAATTTCTCTAAAAAATACCCGGAATCCTGAAAAACCCTGAGCAAAATTCGGCACGTCCATTAAGTGTTAATTAAGTACAACAGATCAAACTTTGAATAAACCATTTAAAATTTATTTCATTTTCCAGGCGTCGCTCTAATCGTGACCGGCTTGTGCTACATCCGTCGGCGCACGGCGCGCTATTACACCGGCGAGGAGAAACACCCGGACCACTCGGTGGCCTCATCGCAATTGTGCACGTCCGCCACCGAGGTGAGCTTTCGCTTTCCGGCGGACGATAAGCTCGCCGCTCTGGCCGACGCCTCATGATATCCGCAACGTCGCGACGAAGGCGACAGCAAAAGTGTCAAAAGCGGCAAATCTACCGCCTCCGTGGTCATACTTCCAGAGTTAACGCAAAGGCACAGAGAGCCGGAGGTTAAATTTTGCGTGTACGCCGAAACGCACATGAATACGGCTCGAGATTAATGATAGTATTATAGGTTTAATGCTAATGGTATTTTAATAATTGTAGGAATTTTATATATATTTAAATATAAACATCTGGAGCTGGTAAGCGCAAAGGTGATAAGATATATTAAGAGTAAAATTAATGGTTTTAACTGCAACTAACGATATAAAAAAATCATTTTTCGATACCATTCTAAGCTGGCATAAGAGTTAATTGTATTAGATATTTCACCGCAAGAAAGTATTCATTAATATATTTTTAATTCAATTTCAATTTGCATAATCATATTGATCATTAACTTAGTCAGTTAAGTATATATTAAAACACTTCGATTTGAACTGGCACTTTATACTTTTTATTTTATAACTACTCTTGGACGGTTAAAAGGTTATTAGTTGATGAATTCATTGTTTGAAATTAAACACTATCTAAAAAGCCAAACAATTTTCTTTACAAATTATCAAATTTAATCATTTTATATCAACATTATTTCGAGTTTGTAATATTATTTACACAACTTTATTTTCGAACCATCTGCAAAACTCATATAGATTGATGTCAATAGAATATTTTTGCAAAAGATTTTAGCCTCGACATTCTCGATATTCATATATATATATATATATATATATATATATATATTTATTTATATTTATATATATGTGGGGTCCTTAACATAAACATTTTCGAATTTTTCTGCTCCCAGGGGCTTAAATGCTTCCAAATTGATAAAAAAAATCTCTAGAAGTTTTAGCTCTTAATATTAACTTTTGTATGGAAATAGCATGGAAAACTTTTTTAAAATTTTAAAAATGTTTTTTAGGTATAACTTAGCGACAAATGAATTAAAAATGACAATTCATGTCATTTTTTATTAAAAATTCGACGCTCTGCAAAACAAGTTTTTTTATAATTTGTTTTGTAGAGCGTCGAATTTTAAATAAAACTCATTCATTTGTTTGCTAACTTATAACTAAAAAACATTTTTAAAATTTTTGAAAATTTTCCCATGCTATTTCCATACAAAACTTTGATTGAATTGCGCGCTCTCTAAAAGACAATGTTAAGAGCTAAAACTTGCGGAGGATTTTTTTATCAATTTGGAAGCATTTGAACTCCTGGGAGCAAGGAAATTCTAAAATGTCCATATTAAGGACCACCCTAATATATATATATATATATATATATATATATATAAATACCTATATAGAACACGTGTAAGTCATAAATTCACACATTTTCGGCGATAATGTTTTAGAACACATTATTTGTAGATTCGATTTCAATTTTCAATGTATAACGTGAGAAACTCATATTCATAATATACAACGCAGTTTTAGCTATTACATTTGCTAATTTCATAAAAGAAAGTTGGTAAAATATCATTTTGCTACTTAATCGTGGTTTTATTTACTATTATTAAACTACTAAATACTATATTGATGATATAATGATAATTTGTATTGAACTTATACTTAAATACGGTTTTTTATTTCATTAACGTATTTTGCACATACTCGGTTCCAAAACTATCAATACCATTCGAATTGAATAACAGTATTATATTGAATAAATAAAACTTTAATAAAATATGTAATTATTAAATATACAATTTTATATACAAAACTAAACATTTCAAAATTACTGTATATGAATTAAAGTTTGAAATAACTTTTTTTTCATTTAATAATCTTTAGAAACTAAAATTCTAATTGATATATAACTGTATAGTGCCAAATAAAATTATTACTCTTTATAATAAAATGATAAAAATTGCTTCATAAAAATCGTGCGCAAATTAGCTAACAAGGACTCTATGTACTAAAAATACCAAATCCCAATTGTGAATAATTATGCAAATAATTTAATATATTGCATTTATTGATAAAAAATATAATTTATTGTGTTTCATATTATATGAAACATATCTACTAATATATAATTAACGTATCAGTAATAATATGATAATTTTATAAATGTATCAAACAAAATTACTGATAAATTAATATATCGGCCTAATATTAAAATGTCGAATTATAGTAATATATGCTCTTATAAAAAAACAAAATAAAATTAAAATAAATAAATAGAAAAATAAGATCTCAAAAAATTGTACTGTCATAGTCATGTTTCTCCGCACAAATGATTTTAGTAGTTTTATTTGAATATTTCGTCCTAAACTTAAAAATTTGGCATATGATATATATAATAATTAAGTCTGCAAATAAAAATTACCCTTAATTTTCTTATTTTATTTAAATAGTTATAGGATTCAACTAACGATTTTCCAGAATGTAAGAATTTGATTTCTTTAATATTTTTTATTAATTTAAACGATAAATGAGTAGAAAAATTAAAGTTGAAAAAAAAAATGACAAAGACAGAGATAATTCCATACACATCTACTACTCTTGAATTAACATTATCTTTGTATATTATTTTATTACGATATTTTCTACTTAGTTTTAATAATTTTGCATACATCTTTCTTATTATTAGTAGTTTCTCTAAGAATAAAGGCGTGTGAATTATTATACGTAGTGGTTGGACCACCAACTATAAAACGACTACTCCTAAAACTGAAGTATAAAATATTAGGATTTTTATATTATGTTTATCTTTATATCTTTCTCAAACGATACCATAATAGCTGAGTATGATTCTCGATATATTTTTTCGAAAACAAGCATTTCTTCATAAACTTATGGAAACATCTAAATTTTAAGAACTGTTGCAACCAACTCATTTAAAACTAGTCGAAGTAAAATAGAAAGTTACTGATTTTGCATTATATTCGATAATAAATTCTTTTAAAATTAGAAAACCATAGAAAAAATGAGTTTTCAAAACAAAGAGTTAATTTACAAATACCCATTTAAAGCTGATATTTGGTATTTATATTTATTTCGATCAAATCAAAAGCAATCAAATCAGACGAATTTTGGCCAGTATTGGACGGATGTTCAGAATAACATGTAAACTATAATATATAGAACTATTATATAACCATACGTCAAAAATCTAGAATGTAATGTAAAGCTGAAACTACCAACATATCTATGATAAACCTAATTTCATGCTAAATAATTTAAAACGATGAGTTTAGTTATATAATATTTAACGCAACTTTTTTATTAAGGCGATATAATTAATTGTATAATTAGGCTAAGAATTAATATAATATTTATAAGAAATGAGCAATTAAAAATAAAATATATTTTTATACAGAGCAAGAACATTTATTAAAAAATTGTAAATAGGTATAAATTACATAATAAAGTATATCATAAATAGTAATAACGTAATACCAGTTGTGTATATAGTTTTGAAAGATATCTATGATTTTATGTTTAATAATTTTAATTAGATTATATTTTGTATTTATATTTGAATGAATCTGGAAATAAATTATAAAATATCTAAATGATTTTTATTATATCTATAAACGAATTTTGATCTTTAGGTACCAGAAAAATTTTGAAGTAGTGATACATTTATATCAATGCAGATGCGCAGATCTCAAAACTACTAAAATTATATATGCAGTATCGAATTTCGATAATTTCAGAAGTTTCAGTAAATACACTAAACAATTATAAATTTATATAATTAATAATTATATTTTTTTGAAAAGGTTTTCAACAGGATTCGACGAATTTACCTAAGAAATTATTAAGAATTGTAAGCATTAAAATTTTTCTTTTTATTCAAAAAATAACTATGCATATAAAAGAAAAACTATTAATATAATACGAAAATTACGAAATTTGTTGATTTATCAAAAATTCTTACATAAATACAAATCGAAATATTTATCTCCAATAGATAAACTCGAACATACTAATTAATTAATAATTTATCTAAGAAATTATTAACAATTGTAAGCGTTGAAATTTTTATTTCCAATCAAAAGATGAGTAAAACTATGCATATAAAATATAAACTATTAATATAATTACGAAAATTACAAAATTTGTTGATTTATCAAAAATTCTTACAGAAATACAAATCGAAATATTTATCTCCAATAGATAAAATCGAACATACTAAATATATCAAATGGTATTAAAAAATAATTATAAAAATAGTAATTATAAAAAAGCAGTATCCAATTATTATATGTTTCGTCAAAAGAAGAAGTTTCATCGTGAAATATCCAACGATAAAAATTCACTTTGTTTCTTATGTTTCTTGTCTTCACTCATTTCAAAAAAATGTCCCGTTTAAGACGTGGGTGTTCCACTAAATCCGACTTCCACACGAAAGCTTTTCCAGAGATCAAACTGGTTCCGCAATTGCACTTGTTTCATTGCGAATATTATTTATTTCGATAATCCTAAAAGCTCTAATCAGATTAGCCACCGGTCTGAGAAAGTGGCCAAAAGCATCTGCCAGGGGTTCGCATAAATCGCGGAATGAATTGGCCAAATTATAAAGAAATATTAGCGGAGGCTGTAAGACTCCGTTAAAAATCGCCGTTAACAAAGGTTTGAAGCAATAATCAGATACGAGTTGAATCACGCCGACTGTGAGAGGTCGCAGAGCGCTAAATAGCAGAAATCTAAAATAGGTAGAAATAAAACATATTTACTGAAATCTGAGAGAATTTAATGTAATTTTAGAATTAGAGAAAAAAGACAACACGAGGTCAAAAATGACTTTGATCCATCGAAAAATAACATAACAAATTCATGATTATTTCAAATTTCATACTAAAAATTTTACGTTTCCAAATTATATTTAAAAAAATATCATATTCAATATGACAAAGGCACTCATATATATAAGCAAATGTAATAAGTTTTTAATCTAATATATTAAAATCTCTATTTAAGAACTGCCTGAAGGCTGCATAACTAAAAATTTCATCAATTTGTCAACTTTATCCGACCCTCTTGTTTTAGTTTTATACCACATATTTTATACTAAATATAACGTACAATATAGGTTCAACACAAAAATACAATATGTATACCATATTGTTCAAAATGCACAGAAAAAGCGCAGGTTCAGAAATATTCATTGAAGATATTCAAAAATAAGATCATTTTAAACATTAATGCTAAATGTTTTATGAATGTAATATCATCGATTACACTGCGCGACACTGAAAAAATTTCCTGAGATGTTATGATAGTTTTGAAGTAATTCGAGGACGCTGATTCCGCAAACAGTAACAAAATTTTGCTAAAAGCTCTAGTTTTTGAGGTATGCCAATACGCAAGTTTTACCTCAAATTACAGTAAAAAATACAACATATTTCATTTTATGCTTTTAAAAGTTTTTTATATGATTTTCGGGCCTGGACAAGGCCTGACTGATGTCGTCATAAGCTCCAACAACTCTCAAGCCATCAACTCTCCAAGCCATTATGTGGATGTCCTACCTTTCTTGATATCGTTCCCCCAAAGTCCTGATGTCTTGGTGGATACTCTCGTTCTGCTCTTAGCTAATATCTCCAAAAATTTCCAAAAACTGTTTTGAATAAGCGGGTGATGAACTCAACTCAATTACATCAAATATATCAGCTTTTAATTCTTCCTGCCTTGTCTTTTAACGTTGGTTTCTGCATCCATTACTTGGCAGACAGGAGATGTTGATAGCATGGATAGGGGTTGTGTATCGAATCATAAGAAGACCTCAATACTATGGTGTGGTGTGGTTTATGACCATTTGCTTCTATTCTCTAAATTTATTTCATTGGTATTTACCACACAGAAGGAACAATCGTCGTGGTGATTCTGAGTTTTTTTTCTAAATTATGGAGGTATTAAATTTACAGCATTACTTTTTTCTTCTGGATACAAACGTAAACACACTACACAATTTTCCTACGCATTAACCCATGTTTTATCTTTATTGCGCAATTCAGTTTTAAAGTGGTTGAAATACGATGCCTTTGCGCAGTTCAACATAGGTTTCCGGTATTTGTCGAAAACATATTAATCACCGATATAATAAAAACCATACAAAAAACACAAATGAAACTTTTATTTATTCTTTAAACTGCAATAATTATAGCCGAAATAACTAATTAAAGTAGTCCCCTGAAACTCAAAAACTGGAGCTGTTACGAAAAAACAAAGGGTATATTTGAAATCAGCGTGCAATTCTAAGCAGGTTTGAAAGAAAGTTCGAGGAAAAAATAAAAGTGCCATTTTTGTCGCGCAGTGTTATCAATTAAATCATTATAATTATCCCAGAGTATCCCAAAAGTCAACGTTAGCCAAAATGATATGATAGTATTGATCATAACTACTGTTAACGCCTCATTCCCCAACCCTGGTCTAATTATTATATTTTATTATCTCCATGCAGGATAGCGACAATAAACCCTCATTCCTTTTATTATTACGCATCCTGTCGCAAAATCAGTAATCCATTTTTCCTAGAATTTTTATCACCTGTCCCTGACTACATCATACAATCATCCTTATATTTCCAAGAAATTCGCACTACCTGTATCCAGTTTAAATTCTCCGTATCATGCAATTTATCAACCAATACCTGATCGATTGATAAATGTAATAACCACTGATTGGTTCCAAAATTGTAATGGGGTGTCTTTAACTCCACAAAATGGGCCAATCAGAAAAATATATGAAATTATAAAATCTACATAATTTAGTATCAACCTAAATTTCACATAGCTAAGATCAGTCGTAAATCAACACTCAAATCCAAAACATCTAATTCAAACCTCAACTATCTAATCATCTGTAAGTCTTATATTTCAAATACACAATAATCAAACAGTTATTCAACATCTTTTATTTTTATTAAAACGGTCTGATATAGCCAACAACTAAATATATCTGGTCCTTCGAAAAAGTGCAAGTGTTCAAGAGTTCGGTAGCATCTCGCCGATCACGGATTTCTTAAACACTTTGAATCTATCTCAGCAAATACTTTTTTGGCCATTCAATACCGAATGGTCATTTTAATAAACAACTACCATAAATAAAATTACATACAAGCAATCGTTTATATTAACCGAGTTTCTGCTAAATCTATAGCCAATTTTTCCTTTTCCTCACCTGATTAGTTGAAGTATAAACGCAGTCAAAAATGCAAAACCGATATGTAGCGTGCCAAATAATTCGGCCCAAAACCGAGTCGCATATCTTTCGGTTTGTTCAGCAACAACTTCTGTAGCTGTAGCGACTGCGAGGTCGGTCGTTCGCAAATAACGCGCATTTCCATGGTCAAAATAGTAAACGTCTACGCGATCAGGAGGCAATGCCACTAATTATATAAAAAATTGCATAAAACATACATCGTTGCATATAAGTAATACATATATAAAAACATGTACAACAATACTATACGTTACGATTGATAAAAAAAATATTTTTTGGTTAATCATTCATAGGACCCCCTACCAATATCTCAAAAACAAGTAAAGGTCTACCAGAAGGTCCACCATCAATATCTCAAAAACAAGTGAAGTTAGCAGTGTTTTACTAACAATATTTGAAATTAGAAGGAAAAAGATATGTAATCAGCCATCACTTTTATTCCTATGACGTCGCTATCAGAAGATAAATGACAATGTTTTAAAATCCATAACAAAATTATTTTCGTTGTTAGTTTTTTTGGTTGTGAGCTTTGATGGTCAGTTTACGAGATCATAATATAGCTTTGAAGTTTATGTTCACTTATTTATGTTTGAAATCTACGTTATTTAATTGCTTTATAAGTTTAAATTGAGACATTGGACCTGTTTTCCCCTGGCCGTCCTCATTTCAATCCGCTTATGGGGTAAAAAAGGACCAGGTAATAAATTATAGAAAAACAAAAAAAGGACATTTCTACAATGATGAATTTGTTTGACATGAGTTATTTGTTGTGATTTAATTGGTTTGATTTTTGTAATATAATTGCTCAATGTCAAATAGGACCTTTTATGTCCTGCCCTGTTCTATATCTTTTTCCGTTAGTAACATATTCTAAAATCTCATTTTCACGAGTAATCAACACACATTAAACATTTAAAATTATATCCACCAAGTAAAAGAATGTTTAAAATGTGTTAAATGTGTCAAATGTGTGTGCCATAACGTAAACCCAAAATTATAACTTTTCTATTCCAAATTGGGCCTACCATACAACTTTTGCATATTTGAAAACGATTCAGTTGATTGTGGACAAATCTGAAAACACGCATACTTATTCGCTGAGATTGCCTGGGAGTGTTTTTAAAACAGATTAGACAAAATCATTAATTTTCGATATAAGAAAATTAATAAACCCAATCTTAATATTTTCTTACCTTTGTATGAGCTGTTTCCTGCGCCTCTCATGCGCATCGTCTTAACGGCGGGCATCGATCGGGTTAAACCTCGTATTTGTCCAACCCCATGACTGTTAGGTGCTGGTAGTTTAGGGGAGTTGACTCGATTTGCGTTTCTACTATAAGTTCTTGCAGAACGAGCCTGAGATCCAATGCCATTTACGTTCACAATTGGCCTTCTTTCACATCCTTGATCCTCTTTTCGCGAAGTGTTTAAAGCACCACTGTAAATGGGTAATAGTAATTCATGATATTAATTTTAACAAATCGAATACTTTTACGAAATTATTATCCTTCAAAACTCCATTTTTAGTTTAAAAAGTGTGATTTCCACACTAAAAATTTGAACTCTTTATAATTACAGCAATATAAAACATGCATGTTTGACAATAGATTTGTATACAAATTTATAAATTCATGTTCTTAAGTAATTTACTTTATCTGAATTTTGCAAAAGTCAGCTACTCATTTTTTTCAATTTTCAAGAATCTTAAATTAATACATATTACTAACCTTACACGTTTGAAAAACTTAAATATGGGAGAACGTCGTTCAGACTCTTCGTTTTCGTCAATTGTATCCAATGGGTATTCCACATCCAACGGCATTCTTAAAGGATTACCATAATTCTAAATTATATTTAAAAGCATGTTAATAAAACCAAATATTGTTTTGCCCAAGAAAGTTTTATTTTTGTTGAAAATTCAAATAATTTTTTTAATGATTAAAAATATACCCATTTAAAATACCTTTCGTAAATTCGAATTAATGTTGTGATCACAAATGTTTAATTGGTGGTAGTCATTTTGATTTCGCCTATTCTCATTTTGTTTCTTAGTAGGGCTCTGCAGACGATCAAATAGTGCACCAAATATTCGAGGAATTTTAACACCCGTATTGCCATCTTCGCAGTGTAAGCTAAAAACCAAAAATTAGTGTTGAAATTGATACGGTAGATTATCGATTATCCGGACCTCAGTTATACGGATTCGCGATTATCTGGACTACCAACCGCGACAATGTACATACATAAGGAAATGTTAATTTCTTATTAAACATTGATTTTTGTTGATATCCAGGTATGTATTTGATCAATACATATTATTTTTTATAAATACACATCATTATTCTTCATACATTGGATTATCCGGATTTTCGATTATCCAGATGCTGATCGACAATAATTAGTCCGGTTAATCGAGGTTCTACTGTATTTATATAAGAAAATATACTATAAACATTTCGAATTTAGTTTTAATAGATAATTTATAAATAGAGTATGCTACAATAAGTCATTTTTGAAGTATCGTTTTCAATTATTCGCATACAAATCATTAAACTTAATGCATTTATGCTTTTCATGTTATTAAATGCATATAATTGCATGCACCATATTTTCTTACTTCAAATGCGGGACGGTAACTTGTAGTCTTTTTATTATATAGTATTTGAGGATACATTGAAAATAAGTTTTTTGATCTTTTATCTAAATCGGAATTTTTATCAATGAATGCAAAACCTTTCATACTTTTTATCTATTTTGTTTTTCACTTTTAAGTCTGGTATAAAATTCTGTACAATTTTTTTCATAATTGACGGTAATAAAAATATAGCTTTTAGTCTCTTTTTTTAAGTCTGAAGCACTTATGCCAGAAAGTCAAAACGTAATTTTTAGATAAGTTCAATGTTTTTGAAATAAAAATAATCAATCATCAGTAAAAATTTATCAATGAGCAATAACAATTGTTTTAAATATTTTATAAATACTATAAAGTTCTTCGTCAAATGTATAAATCTAATATAATATAAGAGCTTATATATGAGCGACGATCTTCATCTATGTTTATATGCAAGTACGAAAACATAATAAACACGAGCACAATGCTGCTCTAATCGGATTCGCAGTTCTCTCAAAAACTGCAATTTTTTGCAATTTTTGCTCCGTACCTAGAAAATTGCTAAACCCGCCTTCGCAAAAATGTAATTAATTATTCACTTAATCAATATAAATTGAATGTTTTTGAATCATTCTAATCGGATGTGCCGTTCTACTAAAAACTGGTTGTTTTTGCGCCTTTGTGACCATATCTCCGGAGAACTAATCAGCACGTGTCGCCATCAATAGGATTCGAATGTTTTTTGAATAATTCAAATCGGTTGATTTATGCTCTCGATATCGTGGACAAAAACTTGTAATTAAACATATACACATACATCCATTTTTTCTAAGGTATCCGAAAATGTTCAGAAAGCTTTCAAACGGAAATATATAGAATAAAATGAATGAACTTAATTTTGACGTATTATAATAATATTATATAATAATTCTATACTTAATACCTTTCTCTTCTACCTTCCCTGGCGACGGAGCATCCATCGCCGCAAGAGCAGACGACAATTTGCGTCTGAGTATGCTGCGACTGCCTCGAGCGATGAATCGCAGCCGGTGGCGAACTAAAGCGGGCGTGCCTATGCCCGCCCGACATTAAAGAAATTCCTCTCGGTTGACGATACTTTTCCGGCCCTGTTTCGAATAAACCTGCGTGAAGATAGAAATTATAGTAATATCTGTTTCTATTATCATTATAATTTTTATTATTTGAAAACGCTTGAAAATTTATGGGAATATTAAGTTTTTTTCGAAGCGATTGCGCTGCGTAGCAGTTTTAAAAACTAATTAAACGGTTAAACATTTTGAATCTTTTAGTACGGATCCATAAACATATATAAACAAAACAAAATTTGTACTTATTATTAAATTCTCTATAAAATATCCGATAATTTGATGCGTATATCGCTAATGATCATTTTTGGCCGCCAAATCGCTTTTTTGGAAACTTTTTTAATTGGATCTCCAAAATCGTTGGACCTGCCTTGCCTGCCATCTGTGTTCTCAGAATCGTGGACGATATTTTGTATCCAAACAGACATATATACATATTACACACACACATGCATCCATTTTTTTTTCTAAGGTATGCCAAAATGTTCAAAAGACCCTAAAACGTAAAGATAAGCAAAAAATTTCATTTTCTATTTTTTGCGATTACTATATCTTACCCTACGGGAAGGTATTAATCGACAAAGTACAGGGAGTAGTAGGTACGACCGGATTTAATTTATTGAAGACAGTTTATAGGCAAAAATAAATAGGCAGTATCGTTTGAATCAAACATTTGAAAAAAATAAAATCTGATCATTTTTTCTGATTTTTCTGAATCTAAATTCAGTGAAGTAGTTAAATGTCATTATCTTCTATCAACTATGTCGGATTATGCTGGTTAATTGACTATTTGGCTAATTTAAGTAAAGCCTATTAATAATGTAAATAAAACAATTCATACAAGAATAATGATTTACATGTTGCTTTTGATGTCCGTTTTAGTGGCAGCTCCATAATACTACGATTGAGGGATGGAGGGCAAGGCATGGTAGAAATGTCTTCAATTTCTTGTTTTTCTAGTATCGATGTATCCGTTGTGTCTTCATCATAAATATTCATATAATATCCTTCTTGTTTGGCACGACTTTGCTGAAGAGAAACGCTAGTAGTAGACAAACGTGTAGAATCAACGGGTCCCTATACGTATAATAAAAGTACTTTGTTATATATATATATATATATATATATATATATATATATAATTAATATACGAGGATATCATATATTCACAATATACGAGTATATTACTCAATCTAACCTCCTCATAGCAAGTAGAGTTTTCCGATTCCATGTGAGATATTGTTTGAGGCGATGCGAGATAGCACTGCTGAGTATTCTGCTGTATTTGTTCTTTACCAATATACCTTGGGAATTCTCGCTGGTATTTTCTTGGCGGCGTTCTTTTTTCCTTCACGGTTACCTAACCAATAGCAGCAGATCAATGTCAAATGCGTACATATTATATATGTTGGTCGGGCTAAATTTTAAGAAGATCTTTTCAAGAAACTTTGCCAAAAAAACACAGCAAGTAATCATTCTCCAACCAGTGAAATTTTCAATATATTCTTTCTTTACAAATTTAGATATCATATTAAAAAATAAAATAAAATAAAACCATGACTTTTGCCAAACGTGTGTGCTGAAGTTTTTAGAGTAAAAAAATCCATTCTCGATACTTTTTTACACATTATTACCACCAAAGATTTCGCATTTCTCTATCTTTTTTGAAAAAAATCGGTGGATATTTGCAAATATTCCAAAATTTAAAATATTCCAAATTGTTCGCTGTTGATTGCTTAATAATGATCCACCCATTAGAACTAGAATTAAAAAAATTATCAAAAATTTATTTCTTTTATTGTAAAGTCACAAGCGCTTCATACATAATTTGCAATATGCCTGGTAATATTATTTTGAAAATATTTATTTTCAATAAAAACGCGCTAAACACATAATTGATTGATGAATTATTTTATCATTGAACATGGTATATTATAATTTGTACAAAATTATTTTTACCTGCAGTACTGAATGCATAGAAGCACTGTACAAAGTAGCTTGACTCTCGTTGTCGCCCTCTAAATCACTTAACATTTTGGAATCTATAAAACTTTCCGAATCTCTACTTTCTGGTCCTTGCATGCCCTCCACGATATCGCGTAATTCTCGACCTAAACGCTGAGAAGATTCTTGGATTTCTAGAAAAATTATGAAAGCATAGATAAATAGTATCTTCAATGGTTGACCATGTTTTCCTTAAAGAGTATTGAGAAAGGTATGGCACGGAGTTGGCGATGATCATGTACACTTATTTTCGTATTTGTATCAGTAATCAAGTATTTAAAATTCAATACAAAAAAACAGTTAAATACCAGTACCACAATCAGGTACGTGATTGTTCGTGAATGGGCAGTTGTGAAAAATATTCGTTTAATAACGTCGCTTTTTAGAAGGCAACTCAATGGTTGGCCAGTTGAAAATTTAATAGTCACAAAAAGGTAGCCAAGTCTTAATTCTTATTGATTACTTAGCTTGCCTCAAGGCAAAATGCTTCTTGCTCCTAGATGATGTTTACTATAACATATGTGCAATTAAAAAAAAAAACGTCATTTTGCGTTAACCTTAATTCGCAATAATTAGTTTTTTTTCAAAACCAATATTTGTGAAATCGGAGATGGCATGAGAATTAATCGGGTTTAATAAACGAGCGACAATTATTTCATAAAAGTAGCTTAGATATGCTTGCAAAGAACCAAACATGTCATTTTTATTAAATAATCGCTTTTTAAATGTATTGCATATTCTATTTAAATAACGTGTTACAGAGATAAAATCCTCGAATTATTATATTAAAAATGCAATTTAATTTTTAGAATCAAGGTAAAGCATGAACCTTCATAGTCGATTAACATATCTATATTTTCACCAGTACTGTTCACTCCTTGGTTTCGAGTATTTTTCTTTTCTAGTTCATTACTTTCATGTCTTTGTAAATCTTGATTCGATTGGTCACTCATTATTTTATTATGGAGTTTCACAGTGTGGAAAGTGTTTGACACAGGAATATCGTTTGACTTTGAATAAAAATGTGTGATTCATTTGTCTGACATAAAAAAAATCAATGAAACGCCGTAATTCTGCCGACAGGAAATCATTTGACTTTCCATAAACTACAAGTACTATAATTTAAATCAGTGATGTATAATGATTTCGCAAGGAACGGAACAAATATTGTTTTGTTTATTCGGTTAATGCATTTAATTAAGAACTGATACACAAGTTTCAAATATCGTGAATTTTAACCCTTTCCACTCGGCTGTCCACAATTTGTATACACAATAACTCAGTTCGTAGTCAAGCGTTAAATAGAATAGATCAAGCAATGAGAATTTTTTTATGTAATCCTTTTTTTAAAATACGGTAATGATATATTACACTTTTCTGTAGAATGATAAAAAAAAATGTCACGACGATAATTACTAATAACGACGCTGGAATCAACCCGCCATGCTTTTTGCAATTTGTTTTAAACTTTAGCATACTGCAGGAAATCAATTTAGGTCTTAATGAAAACGTATGTTCTTCAACACACAGACAATATCAAATTTACAGCGGGTACGTTTCCGTCAAAATGCGGCGCCGACTTGCTAGTACAAATTATTTTTAAATCGATGCCAAGTGGAAAGAGTTAAGGATCATAAATATGAATATATCATTCTAATATTATCTAAGGTTAAGGATGACCATAAATTAAAGCACCAAGAATTCTACGCAATCGCAAAAAAAACAATTTTTTTAGGCAATTTACTCGAATAAATTTCATACTTCTGATTTTGTAATCTTAATCGATTAATAATCAGTAGCTGCATCAGTTTCTAAAACTGTGCAGTGCATTTGAGAAAAAAAAATGCAATCAATTACTCCGGAAACAAACCCGTTAACCCTTTCCCTACGGTAGTGTTCTACGCAGGAGAAACACTGATGTACAGCCCAGCAAGCGGACCAGTAGCACTACTTAATGGGCCAGACACAACATATTAAAATTTTTCAATTATTATAATTAAAAATTGTTTTTAAGAATTATAAATTACACTTGTTCTAAGAATCTTTAAATCACAATAACAAGTTAAAATTCTCAACAAAATAACTCAGAGTGATTAATCTTGAAACAAGAATCAAAATAATGTTCAATGTACAAACAAGTCATATTCATAGCAAAATGGTTAATACCCATATGCAACGTTTCCTTAAAAAAAACTTAAATTACTCATAAATAAATAATAAATGATAAATATTATTCATAAATAAATAATAAATATGACTCTATAATAAATCACTCTTAACATAACATATTTCATCACTGAGAACTATATAGCAAAATGTAAACCACCATAGCAATAGAAAGAGCAATAGAAAGAGCAACAGTAAAAGAGCTTTTAAGCTCTTAAGAACGCATTTCAAGAATTTACAAATAAAATTAATATTGGAAAAATGCTACATTTTTATAAATATAAGTTATATTCTCTCTAATTCAAGACACAAAATTAACTAGAAGATACCACTATCAAAACATATATCATGTGAGTGTGATATCATTTATCTAATTAGTCATTTAGACACTGGATAAAATAATTTGTAACACTTATGATGTATGTACCATGTAAAATATAAATACTTAACATAAGCTTCTTTAATTATAAGAAGAAATCATAACTAATATATGTAACAGATAAAATCAGTCAAACCAGAAAAAATTAACTAGATGATACAACTATCAAAATGCACAAGTGTTATATGATTTATCTAATCTTACATTTAGACACTGGGTAAAATAATTTGTTACACTCGTGATGTATGTATCATCAAATATAAAACCCTAACATAAGCTCCTTTTGTTATAAGAAGATATAAAATTAGTCAAACTAGAAAAATTTAGTTAGACGATACAACCCTTTCCACTCGGTTGCCGCGACTCCTGAAACAAAATACGTATTAATTCTGCAATTCGTGAGTGGGAAGGGTTAAAACGTTCAAGTGTGACATGATTTATTTAATTGTACATTCAGGCACTGGGTAAAATCATTTGTGACACTTGTAACATATGTATCATCAAATCCTAACATAAGCTCCTTTATTATAAAAAGAAATCATAATTAATATTAGTAATAGATATAAAATTAGTCAAACTAGAAAAATTTAGCTGCGTGATACAACTATCAAAACATACAAGTGTGATATGATTTATATAATTGGACATTTAGACATTGGGTAAAATAATTTGTATCATGTATCATGTAAAATATAAATGCCTAACATGAGCTTCGTTTAGTATAAAAAGAAATTATTAAAAAAAATTAGCTACAACAAAAAACTATATAGAAAACTTATTTTTCAATATAACTTATGCAATATCAGACCAATCTCTGAATATTTCATAACGCAATAACATACTTGGGGCAAAGAGTTCAATCGTCATTTCTACTCATAAAATTTTAAATACAACACACAAAGTATTTGCACATTTTAACATCTTTCATACTTATATTGAAGGTACATAGTTTTGTTATAAGTACGTCTTAGGGCTTATCTTCAGTTGCATCAATCCTGCTAAAACAAAAAGACAGCGTTTGTTACAAAACAATGTATAAATATAATTCAACTAATTCAGATTACAAGAATATTTATCACTATTAAAAATAATATGTGATGTATGCAAAATAATTTCCAAAATAAATCAACAACAGATAAACTTCATGAATTGAAAAATTTTAAATATATCTTACACAGTCAAATCACATTCACCCTCCTCTGGATCCCAATAATGCAATTTTTGGCGCCACACTCGTATGAGGCCATCCCACGCACGCCTGCTGTATTTTGCATGTTTTGGTGGTGTTCGTGGATGATCACTCTTTCGCTTGTCTCTATAAATATATTCAATGCTTTAACTACTAATTTAACAAAATCAAACAAAAGTATATAGATAAAATAATCTTATTAAACACAAAAAAAAAAAAAAAAAAATTGATAAATATTTCAATTTTAAAAATGTATTAATATTGGAATTTTTAATTCTCATATATTTTTGTAAAAAGAAAAATTAATGATCAATTGAATCAAGGAGCATAAGGCCTTTAGTGATAGTTAATAAAACTATTACATATAATGTAATAAATTACTTGGGAATTGCGGCTATGTATCTGTCATATCCTATTGTATTCTTCCCATAATCGATTTGTTTTTGTCGTCTACTTAGAATTTCTGGATCAGTCTCAGTTCTACTGTTAGATGTCGTCGATGAGCTACTTGAACTTGGACTTCTATTAATGCAAATACAGAATTTAAAACTTCATAGAAATGCAAAAAATAATGTTATTTTATATTTTATTATCCCACCGTTCTCTAGATTGTTTTTTATTATCTTTAGCCTCCTCTTCACTTTGTTTCCTTGATCGTTTCTGACCAGCCTTTTCAGTAACTTTCTTTTTATCTTAATAATAAAAAAAAAAAAAAATATATATATATATATATATATATATATATATATATATATATAGTTGAAGGTGTTAATATTTGATGTTGAAATGTATGATTAATTTCTTGCTTTTTATTTGTAAATATTGATTAATCTCTGAGAAAAATACCAAGATGTTCTAAATAATGTTTCCCAATTTGTATCAAATATCTAGCACCACGCTATGCTCAACATTATCACACACATTTGCACAGCGTGTTGTACTGTGTTTATTACAAACACATGTAGTGCTTGTTTCCAATTATTAATTATTCACAAGTTGGTGTTAATTCATATAAGTGATAATCTAAGAATTTCAAGTATGTAATGTTTTATGCAATGTTTTAATTTAAGATTTAGATATAATTAGTCTGCCTTTCTAGTTAAATCTCTTTTTTTTTATTATTGCTCTGTGTATATTCAGTTAACGCTACTTTTAATGTTTTTTTTTTCAAAATTGTAGAACCACCGGCTATGATGTAGAATTTTACGTGGAAACGTACATAAAAATAAAGATATTTTAAAAATCAGAATCTTTATATTTTTTACTTGATGTTACACCCTACAAGAAATTAATCAAATATAATATATAATATATATATATATATATATATATATATATATAATATATATATATATATATATATATATATCTATATATATGTTTGTGAGCGTGTTGATGATGGAGTGATTAAGCGAACATCAGAACAGATTAACGCAACACGCGATTAACGCATATCATGTAATATGATATCAGGTTGTCTTAAACATTGAACATAATATGCACTTGAAAATATAGATAAAAAAATGTTACCAATTGAAAGTCCTTTCATCGAAAGTAAAATAGAAAAATAGGATAGCAATAAAAAATCTCAAACTATTCTTTCCTAATTCAAGCTGAAGTTCAATCCAGAACAATGTTCAAATTTTCAACTCTTGGGCAAAACACCCATTAAATTAAAACATAATTGTATGAATAATAATTGTAGAAAATGAAATAAATTAATTGAATAATTACTATTATATTGGCTAATTTATCTGTTTTACTCATAAGTTATTATTTTAACAACATTATATTAAGTAGAATGAAATATCAATCCTAGTCTTTTAATAATTGTATCACCAATTTTTGGTACCAATGAATTACAGAATAAATTATTTTATTTAACTAGAGTATAATGTTTGAATATAATTTAATATATAATATATATAAACAAAGAATTTGAGCAAAATCCTATACCCTTTATGTAATTTTTATATCTATTTGACCTTAATAAAAATAGTTTCGACGTGATAAAATTTAGTACAAAGGTCTTATTTTTTATAAATAAAACGTGTAGAAGTTGTTCAAAAATCACAACCTCAATGTCTTTCATTTCTAATGCTCTTTTTTTATAACGTTACATAATAAATTATTTTCCTGCAGTATAAATACCAGGTCCAAAACATACAGCATTAATATAACAATTACCATTTTCAGTATGTTTGAGGACTTCGGCCAGTTCCTCTTGGTACGTCTTTTCCAGAACATCAATTTCTTCTTCAGAGTCATCTAACTATAAAACAAAGGCAAATTTTGTAGTTATTTGATTGATTGATTTCGACGTTATTTTATTTAATACCCCAAGTTCTTCATTGTTAGACATGTCGAACCAAGAATGTTTTGAAACCCTCTCACGTCTTTTATTTGAGCTTTCCTCCTGCGTAACTAATCTGAAAAGATTCATGCAAAATAAAATTTCAATATAAGATAGCAAAACCTATGAATCAGTACGAGGACACAAATATAAACAAATGAATATCGGGAATCTCGACATGTCATTTATTCAAATGTTTTTTTACTAGCAATATATAAAATTGAAACTACGTACTTCACACACTCCATTTTAGAAAAATATACAAATTTTATTAACTAATATCGTATAAAATGTATTAACAAAAGATAACTGTACTGTCAAGTATATTTTATGTTATTTGTCATTCGCATGTATCACAATTTGGCGCGAATTGTTAAAGAGCACAGAACTGCAAATATGAGAGATAGGTCATAATTTTCACAACGTGACCGGTGCTGCCATCTATTATTCAGTCATATAAATGTATGAAACACATTGAAAATTGTTAAATATTGAAAATACTAGTATTAAGATGTCCATATTTTGTATTTCAAATTCAAAACTAGTGGTGTATGACATCGAGCCTTAAGGCAAATTACTGGAACTTTAGTAATTTACCTAAATACCTAAATTTAGTAAATTTAGTAATTTTTTTTTTTCAATCGTTTCGTCATCACAAGTCACAAGCAGAAAGTTTTTTGAATCATTCAAAGCAAATACTTAGTTTTCTTAAAAACTGCCATTTTTTGCACATTTAGCTCCATATCTTCAAAACGGCTAAACCTTTGCCAAAAACTAATCTCTACTATTACTACTACTAAAACTTATTTCACCTCTCCCCATTATTACGAATTTAATGTTCCTTAGATCATTCAAATCGGATGCTCCGTTCTCTCAAAAACTCGATTTCTATTCTCTGCCTTCTTTGCTCCGTATCGCCGTAACGGCTGGACCTGCCTTTGCGAAAAACTAATCAGCACATCTCCCTATCAATGTAAATCGAATGTTTCGTGAACCATTCAAATTGGTTGATCCGTGCGCCCGAAAATGAGGACGAAAAATTTGATCCATACATACATACACACACACATCCATTTTTTCTGGGGTATGCCAAAATGTTCAGAAATCTTCAAAACGTGAAGAAATGCAATTTTTTTTAATTGTTAAACAATAAAGAAATACTTGGAACGATAAGACAACATACAATCAGCAAACATGTTTTGCTTTTAAACATAGTATACAATTCTGGGCCATTTTCTTCATAAATAACTAAAATTATAAAATTTATATCAGTGTATCTATTTCAACACAAGAAGTTGAAAATAAGCAGTTTTTTTGGTTGGCACAAATCGGTTGGATATCAGATTTGGGATAAAAAAAACTGAATCCAGTATAAATAATGCTTTTACAAAATGCGAAAACGCAAAATAGAAATTCGGAACTGTCCAGCCAATCCAAAACGTTTACTCACCTTACTAAATACATTATTAAAATAATAATTACACTTTACAATTAACGATGAAATAACTACCTTAAATAAGTTAACCAAAATATTCAGATCGTCAAAACATTTTTAACTAAAAGATTATTTTAACAACATCATTTGAAGTAAATATAATTTATAGCGATAAATGTCTTTGATTTTCTATCTAAGCTCCAGCTTGGATTTTTGAAAGATGCGCCCCGGTAACAATATTTTGATCTTGTTAATATTTGAAATAGACTATAGAAAGATTTTATGAATATTTTATTATATAAAAAAGTACAATCTACAACTACTGAAAATGATTTTGTAAAAACATGAAGCTATAATACTGCTAAATGATTTAAGAAGCAAAAACCCTCTAAGAATTCACTTTCAAGATTCTCTACATGCTCTGTAGCTACATGAAATTAATCCATATTTAATTGCTAATAATTTTATCTTCAGAATTATTATTTATATTCTTCTTGTTGAATACCTTCCGTTGCCATCAAATCTTTTATATACTTTTCAAGTTCATTCATCTTATCTTCGGTTTCTTGAAATCTGGTTTGTATTTTATGTTTAGCATTCGATACCTTGTCCACAGATGATTTCGTTATCTAGAAATATTCAAATTGGAAATATTCATCTATTTCAATAAATTATTTAAATAACATTTTCTACATAATTATTTAAATATTTAGAAAATTTAGACGTATGAAAAATAGATGTGCTATTTTCAGTCATACTGAACGTGATTTCGGGGGAGTATTGCCACTAGCATCATGACACAAAAATGTTAAATATATATATATATATATATATATATATATATACATATATATATATTTTAAATTTGTCATTACCGCTGCGATGTGCTTTTGAAGTTCATCAAGATCTTTAGGAAGTATGGTTAAACTACTTGTAGGGTAGTATCCAATATTATCTGATATATCAGAAACTTCAGATCCAGTATCTCCCATTTTATTGTCAGAGTAAGTCAACACTTGTCTAAAATAAAACACTTATATTTTAAAAAAATCCATTTTGAAACTCTACGAGTAAAATAAATTTTAAACATCAATGTTATCAAAAACCTAGTTTTATAAAAAACATGTTTTGAACAATAAAAATATAGAAAAAATGTTTTTACTGCAGTATTATCATATCAGCAAAAAGTACGAATAATTTAAAAATTGCAAAAAATACTTGATAAAGTGTATTATATACTATTTAAGTTTTATAAGAAAAAAGTGAATACGCACCAGCGCTTTTTCAAATTGAACTAACAAGGATTACGTTTTAAAAGTCGACCTAATAAACGTTTCTGAGCATGCGCTCTAAATTTTAATTTTATTTCTACAGAAAAGATGAAAAATTAATCGGAACGAATAAATTCAAAAGTCAATTACTATAGTATAATAACTTATTTATTTATTGCAATATGTAATAATACGATAGTATAGCAAGTTGATAATTAATTATTCAGAGCAAATATATATTTTCAAGTTAAGCTTTTGAAATTAATCGCAACTATTAAACTTCATTAAACTATTAATTATTGAAGTTAGAATGAACAAATTTATTTAGTTCAATAAATACTTAGTTTATCGATTTCTATACTAACAAACAAATTCATTCTGAATGTCGATATGAATCACTAGGTGGTACGTCTTGGTACAAAACAAATTCTCACAGCAGGAATATAAGCTCGAAGGATATGGCTACTAAACAATAAAAAACCATAATAGTTATTGATTTGAAAAAGAATATATATTAAATTGACCATAATTTTTAAAATACTGGACGGAAACTTGTAGTGTGAGCTAGTAGTAAAATTAAATAACTTGAATATATATTTTTTTCTAAATAATACACAACAAATACAATTTAATGCAATAAAAATAATTTAAATTATTCAATTTATTTTTGTAATCAGACTCAACTAGTTATGAGTACAAAAGTTTTTATATTTTTCTGAATTATAGATCTTTTCAGTTAAGTTTTTTTCACTTTGAAACATATTGTATGTACAATTTTCTTTGAAATTAAATTTAGTTAATAATATTGCTTTTAATGTAACTATTTCAAGCTGAGTCTTGTCACTTTTTCAAAACATTTTTGCTTCGCGACAAAAAACATTATTAAAATGCACCTTCGAATTGATGCAGCTCAGTTATTTGTTTTTTCAGCAATTTTCATATTACTATAATATACTTGTCGTATATATCATTTTTATTTGCAATTTTATTAACAAGTTATAGCAAAATTCAATTTCAATCCATGCTTTTCAATTTTGAATAATTTAGGGTACAAAAAATCTCGACAAATCGGGACAAATATTGCTTCTAGAAAAATCAAGATGGCAATTGCGGACGCTCCTGGCCTGGGTATTAGACCAGCTAATAAAAAAAATAATTCTTAGCGACGGTCTTGTAAAACTTCTTGTTCTGTGGACCAAGTTTTGGATTTTAACCCTTTCGACTCGGATGCCGAAATTCATATAAATCCCGGAACTCGCGAGTGGAAAGTGTTAATGGTTCGGCAGTTTTCTTTGTTCTCTATGGAAGTGGTTTTTCTAATCATGCTATTTCATTATCATAACGCATATTCTCATGTATAGGGTTTGTCGAGTCTAGTTAGTATGCCAATCTCGAATCAGTGTTTTTATCAATCCCCAATCCGTGTAGAAATTAGCAATTTACTGATAACATTATACCACTACAGTTTCTGAATTACTAATTAACCACTTAAATCCGTTTAAAGATGCGCAATTAGTTGTTAATATTACTTGCGTAAGTGTTCAAGAAAAAATAACTGAAATAAGCAATTAATTTTAGTCATGTTTGGTCTATGGTCTACTTAGAAACATAGAAAAACGACTTATGGTTTCACTCAGGTTTTACTACATTTTTAATATTGATTTTCAATATTGTGCAATCTGATCAATCGACAAATGCCTCAATTTGGAAACTTCAATCGATTTTAAAGCACAGCAGTGTTGTTCTACTTACGGAGTCAATCATGCAAATGGTACCGTGCACGGCGGCTGCTATATTAAATCAACCATAAAACACCATGTTTGCTATGTGAACATTTGTTACAGAAAATAATACATACTTCAAAGCATAAAATTTCGAGCAAACAGTTCAACAGTTCCTCCAACTGCGAGATGAAAGTGCAAGAAGAGACTAAAATTCATAATACCAAATCTAAGTGTATCCAAGGGGATACCGGGTCTGCTAGATTTCTGCATCACAACAGGTAATCAACTTCGTCAAAGTTGTATAAACTTTAGATTTTATTATTTCTGACTTGCTATACAATAATCTGACTATTTCACAAAAATATAGTGGTTAACATTTCAGGGTCATATCCCTGTCACATTGCTAACCACTTAAATAGCATTATTTTTCTCAAAACCAGCGAAGAGATCAAACAGGCTGTGAATAATTTAAACAGCAAATTAGTAAGTACTGAAGCTGAAATAGACTGACAAGTCACTTTTCTTTTAAAATAATCAAGATTTCAATTCTATTGTACACGGACAAATCGATTTATGCCTATTTATCTATACATAAATCGACGTAACAAATATGACCCATAATTATCAAGGAAAACTTAATATGGAATAAAACCTGCTACAATAGGATAAACAAAACTTAATATGGAATAAAACCTGCTACAAATTGGAACTTTCCGTACGTAAGCACCGTGTCGCCGTCTAACGGATAATCAATGTTACGAAACCCATAGAAATGTAAACAAAATTCACACTTAAATAATTCATAATTAAAATCTCTATAAAATATCTGAAAATATCTGATAATTTGATATGCTAAAAATCATCCCGTATCTTCAAAACCGCTGGACATGCCTTGTCCTAAAACTAACAGGCACCTCCTCATCAATAGGAATCGAGTATTT